AAGGGAATAACTACACGTGCACTTAAACTCGGTGGTGATAGTGCTCTAAACCAGCGGCTCTCACACTTTACCTTCAAGTACCTGTTGTTTAGTTGTACCCATGTGAGAGGGTTTGTATATTGGGAATAATCTTTCATTCGTTTTTTAACACTGTAATACAAGTATAAGACCACTTGTAAACACAGACCTCCACCCCCCTCCCCATCGCCTACACACCCTCCACGCACACTGTATATCTCAATGTGAGGACCGTTGATCGAACTGAATCCCAAGCCGATAGCTGTTAAGTTTTCCAGGCAGTATCGATTTTCTCGGGAAAAAGTTTCCTGGCACTACTTCCTGGTTTCTAGATCTTTCTGCGGAAATCTTCTAGATCTTTCTCGGGCTGCGGAAATCTTCTAGATCTTTCTCGGGCTGCAGAGATCTTCTAGATCTTTCTACTTCATACCGGGCTGTAGAAATCTTTTAGATCTTTCTCGGGCTGCAGAAATCTTCTAGATCTTTCTAATTCATACTGGGCTGTAGAAATCTTTTAGATCTTTCTCGGGCTGCAGAAACATTCTAGATCTTTCTACTTCATACCGGGCTGTAGAAATCTTTTAGATCTTTCTCGGGCTGCAGAAATCTTCTAGATCTTTCTAATTCATACTGGGCTGTAGAAATCTTTTAGATCTTTCTCGGGCTGCAGAAACATTCTAGATCTTTCTACTTCATACCGGGCTGTAGAAATGCTCTACTCTATTTCAGACCATTAGAGTTGCAGACGTTGTATTCAGCAGGCATTGACTGACGACACTTTTGTTAGCGTACAGTGAGAGCCAGACAAGACAATACACCACGGGGTAGACGAAATTAGAATTTTAAATATGTTTTTAAAAATCTGACAGGGATTTAGAGTGGCAGTGAAATATTACCATAAGATATGAGTAATTAGCATACAGCGACAGACTTGGGTGACCTGAATTTAAAATGTGAGATTATTATTGTGATGATTCAGATATTACATCACGCTACTGAAAATTAGCTAATTACGTCTATGTTATATTAGAATATTAGAACATGAATTGGGTCCTTTAGCTTAATTTTCCCACAGATGAATAAAACAAGCCACCCCCCCCCCCCCCCCGTTTAAAACATGCCGTATGCCCGTGACTACTGTGATTTATTCAGTCAAAAACATGTTGACGCCGACTTTAATTGAAGTAATTACCAAAAAAAGTCCATTAAGCATTCGACAACATACTTTTAAAAAACGGCCATTCGTCTTCATTAGAGTGAATACGTTTTGTTGAGATAGTAATAACTTATCAGTGAATGAATCACCCCATTTAGAAACTTCCGTCACGTAGGAATTGTCTATATGACGTCACACAATAGGCTCGTTAATTTATTAGGAAATAACTGCCATCAAGTTATTTTTAAACCTCAGACAGAACACTCGTTTTCGTGACGTCTGTATGACGTCACACCATAAGGTCTTTAATTTGCGTGTGGAAATAACTGTCTTCATGCTATTTTTATACCTCAGACAGAACAATAGTTTCTTTTGTGGTCGCCTTGTTTAATTTACAGTGACACCCCCCCCCCCCCTATCGGTCACCCCAGCTCCCAATAATTATTTGTATAAAACTCAAGACGGTAATCCCCAGTACAAAACCATAGGTCATATGCCTAGAGCGCATGCGCCATACAACAATAGGATCTATCACGACATACGGCAGGAATCAATGGGGCTATTCTTGCTCAATGTGGCGCACCGCGGCATAGCTACTGTACTAACAGCGACCGGTCTTTTAGTCAGGCTAGCTCTCGGAATTGTGGTTCTCAAACTAGTCAGGTCTCAAACTATTTAGCTTCACATTTTAAATGGTGGTTCTCAAACTACTCAGGTTACATTTAAAATTGTGGTTCTCATACTGTTCAGGTCTCAACAGTGGCGTAGCGAGGTCGGGTGTCACCCGGTGCGGCACTTAATGGTGTCACCCCCAGAGGCGTAGCAACCCTTACCTGGTACAAACTTTCAAATTTTCGATTTGCACCCTCCCCCCCCACCTCAAACTTTCGATTTGCACCCCACCCCCCCTCAAGTTTTTCTCTCTATATATTGCTATTTTTTGCCTTGGTGTCACCCCCTAAATGGTGTCACCCGGTGCGGTCCGCACCCCCGCCCCCCCTCCCCCTCGCTACGCTTCTGGGTCACAAACTAGTTAGGTTCTCCTTTTAAATGGTGGTTCTCAAGCGGGGCTAAGAGCATAACAGAAGATACACACAACTTAGAGAATAATGTGCTTTCTATCCCTGAATATGGTTCAATTTATTTAAAGCTATGTATCTAAATATCCTGTACTACAGTATTGGTACTTATACAATTAAAGAACTTTTCAGATATAGGTACCATACTGTTTTTACAAGTCTCCGGCCACATTTTCTTTATCCAATAATGCAGTGTAGTTTACCCTAACATTCACCCAACCCTGTACCCTTAACGTTAATACTAACACTAGAATCGAAACCTATTGGAAGTTCTGAGTCAGCTTGCTTGGCAACGAGCGGAAGTTACATAGAAAATGGCTGCCTGACTGTGACATAGAAGGGCAGTGGGTGATCTCCCTTTTTTTGACCCCTAAATAGAAGTTCAGAGTCAACCTGCTTGGCAACGAGCGAAAGTTACATAGAAAATGGCTGCCTGACTGTGACATAGAAGGGCAGTGGATGATCTCCCTTCTTTGACCCCAGATGTAAATTTGGCAACTGTACTGTGGTGTCTTTAATGTTTACAATTTTAAAGTTGGAATGCTATGACAACAATTCTACCTTCTCAAAATTTGAACGGACAAACTCCTGCATAATTCATTGCTATCTGGTACCTTTAAACGGAAATGTTCTGCTGCGACTAGTGAGGAAATGTAACGAGAACCGTTAATCTAGAACCACCGGGTCACTCCTTAAAACTTCCACCTGACAATATTGATTTGATTGATTACTGATCGATATCCTTCCTCCCGATCACATACTTGCACACCCCATTTAAAACAACACCGAACACGATTTAATTTATCAGCAACGGATACATTTTAAAACTGATTGACTTCATACTAATCAATACCAGCTATCGAACACTTTAAAGCTGTGCTTGATTTTGGTGTGCCGGGTAAGGGGGGTAATAATGTTCACTGCCACTTATGTGTAAAGGGAGGTAAGAAGTGTGACCGAGTGTTGTGGTTGGTGTAACTAACTTCATACCTTATGAAGCTTGTTCAAGAGGTGCATGGATATTTTGTTAGGTGCAAATGGAAAATTACCAGCTCTGAATTTATTATCTTAAAACAACAGGATTACCGTCTGTTTTTAAATTCTCACAAGACAATTGTGCCGACCCAAGATTTGACTCGCGTAAGCCTTCTGTTTTAATTACACATTCGTTGAACTGGTTTGTCAAAGTTTATGTGCTATTTGGTGTTGGTACTTACTGTGTATATGTTTGACTAGATATTAATGACTGACATTTACATTTTTGGCTGATGTAATGACAATTTTAACACACAGACAACTGAAATAGAAATATAAATGACTCTACAAAAATACAATTTATTATGGTATTGACAATATAATCTCTTATCTAATGTTTGTCCCCCCTCCCAGATGTCCACCTAATGTTTGTCCCTATTCAAATGTCCACCTAATACATGTTTGTCCCTATTCAAATGTCCACCTAATACATGTTTGTCCCTATTCAGATGTCCACCTAATACATGTTTGTCCCTATTCAAATGTCCACCTAATACATGTTTGTCCCTATTCAAATGTCCACCTAATACATGTTTGTCCCTCCCCAAATGTCCACCTAATACATGTTTGTCCCTATTCAAATGTCCACCTAATACATGTTTGTCCCTCCCCAAATGTCCACCTAATACATGTTTGTCCCTATTAAAATGTCCACCTAAAACATGTTTGTCCCTCCCCAAATGTCCACCTAATGTTTGTCCCTATTAAAATGTCCACCTAAAACATGTTTGTCCCTCCCCAAATGTCCACCTAATGTTTGTCTCTATTAAAATGTCCACCTAAAACATGTTTGTCCCTCCCCAAATGTCCACCTAATGTTTGTCCCTATTAAAATGTCCACCTAAAACATGTTTGTCCCTCCCCAAATGTCCACCTAATGTTTGCCCCTATTAAAATGTCCACCTAAAACATGTTTGTCCCTCGCCAGATGTCCCCCTAAAACATGTTTGTCCCTCCCCAGATGTCCACCTAAAACATGTTTGTCCCTCCCAAAATGTCCACCTAAAACATGTTTGTCCCTCCCATAATGTCCACCTTATGTTTGTCCCTATTAAAATGTCCACCTAAAACATGTGTGTCCCTCCCCAAATGTCCACCTAATGTTTGTCCCTATTAAAATGTCCACCTAAAACATGTTTGTCCCTCCCAAAATGTCCACCTAAAACATGTTTGTCCCTCCCCAGATGTCCACCTAAAACATGTTTGTCCCTCCCCAAATGTCCACCTAATACATGTTTATTCTTATTTAAATGTCCACCTAACACATTATTGTCCCTCTTTAAATGTCCACCTAATACATGTTTGTCCCTACTAAAATGTCCACCTAATACATGTTTGTCCCTCTTTAAATGTCCACCTAATACACGTTTGTCCCTAATAAAAGGTCCACCTAAAACATGTTTGTCCCTACTAAAATGTCCACCTAAAACATGTTTGTCCCTACTCAAATGTCCACCTAAAACATGTTTGTCCCTCTTTAAATGTCCACCTAATACATGTTTGTCCCTACTAAAATGTCCACCTAAAACATGTTTGTCCCTACTAAAATGTCCACCTAAAACATGTTTGTCCCTCCCCAGATGTCCACCTAAAACATGTTTGTCCCTCTTTAAATGTCCACCTAATACATGTTTGTCCCTCTTTAAATGTCCACCTAAAACATGTTTGTCCCTCCCCAGATGTCCACTTAATACATGTTTGTCCCTCCCCAGATGTCCACCCTCCACTCCCCCAGGATACAATGTTGTTGTTGCGCCATCGGAGTGTTTGCCGCCATGTTTGGGATCTTCATGTTATCTGCTGGGATCTGTATCGTCCTCAACGTCACGTTCATGGAGGTGAGTACATACTAGCCCGGGGGGTGGGGGTGGGGTGGGGAGGGGGTGGGATCTTCATGTTGTCTGCTGGCATCTGTATCGTCCTCAACGTCACGTTCATGGAGGTGAGTACATACTAGCCCGGGGGGTGGGGGTGGGGTGGGGAGGGGGTGGGATCTTCATGTTGTCTGCTGGCATCTGTATCGTCCTCAACGTCACGTTCATGGAGGCGAGTACATGACTAGCCCGGGGGTGGGGGATGGTAGGGGGGTAGGGGAGGGGGTGGGTGGTAGTATCTTCATGTTGTCTGCTGGCATCTGTATCGTCCTCAACGTCACGTTCATGGAGGCGAGTACATGACTAGCCCGGGGGTGGGGGATGGTAGGGGGGTAGGGGAGGGGGTGGGTGGTAGTATCTTCATGTTGTCTGCTGGCATCTGTATCGTCCTCAACGTCACGTTCATGGAGGCGAGTACATGACTAGCCCGGGGGTGGGGGATGGTAGGGGGGTAGGGGAGGGGGTGGGTGGTAGTATCTTCATGTTGTCTGCTGGCATCTGTATCGTCCTCAACGTCACGTTCATGGAGGCGAGTACATGACTAGCCCGGGGGTGGGGGATGGTAGGGGGTAGGGGAGGGGGTGGGTGGTAGTATCTTCATGTTGTCTGCTGGCATCTGTATCGTCCTCAACGTCACGTTCATGGAGTAATTTATAATTACAAATAGATCTCCTTATTTATTTATTTTGGGGGCAGCTAACATTCTTTTTTTTCTAAATTCTAACGATGACCAGTCAGGTAAATATAAAATGTCCACACGTGTTACGATAAGAGATTTGAACCTCCTCTTCTCTCCCCCAGGTGGACACCAGCGGCCTGCCACCCGAGCTCCACAACGAGGAGGGCAAGAAGGTGGTGGGCATCATCCTGATCTGTGTGGCCGTGGCCACCCTGGGGCTGAGCGCCACCGTCAGCGTCGTCTACTTCGCCGTCTGCAACAAGAAATCCACCCGCTCCATCACCGCCAGCCCGTCAGGCCAGGCTCAGCTGGTCCAGCAGACCAACAAAACCACCCCCACGACGCCCCGACTCCCGGGACAAGCCACGCCTTTAGAACGACCCCGCAGACCAACTCCCCGAAGCGCTAGTCAGACATCTTTAAAAGACAAACACAATCGAAGACACTCTTCAGGTTCTACATCAGATAGTCTCCCGTTAAGCAGAACAGTCTCCCCGAAAGGAACGTTGACGCCAAATTCTCGGCATTCACGAAGAAAATTGCGACACCCTAAAGACCCGAGATCTCGTAAAGCTTACAAACTAGACTTAGACACACATTTCGAGGAGGAATCAGAAACAACGAAAGTGACAGCTGATTACCAGATGCAGCAGAAATCTGGCCAGTCGTCGTCTAGTACCTCGCTGGGTAAACAAAGCTCACATGAAGGGGAATACCCGCATTATAACTCCCCGCACAAACGTTCTCTACCACCAGTCATTGTGGTGGACTCCTACCCCCAGGAATTCTCCCCGCCGGTTAGCACCATGTCGTCAGAGTGTGACTTGGCAGAGACACGCTTCATGGTCTCTTCAGACATGCAGGACTTTAACGCCCTCCCCGGGCTGAGATCTGGCTCCCAGGATGAGCTTGACCACGAGCCGCCGCCGTCTTTACCCTACAACATCCACGTAATAGACTCCATGGACCTGATCCTGTCTCCCACGCCACCAGAACCACCCCACCACAACATCCTGATGGTCAAGTCCAAGAATGACCACGACCCACCCACCCCCTTCCAGGACAACTCAGCTGACCACAATGCTGAAATTAGGGACACGATCACAGACCTCACCCACTACCAGGGTCACGGTAACCACGACAACGCAGACAGCAGGTGTGAAAGTGTGGCGAGCTACAACTCAGCTTTTTCTTATGACGAAGACGACCCGGACAAGACAGACATGGAGCTGGTGAGAGAGAGGATGAAGAAGTTGTTGAACGACTGAGGGAGAGAATGAAGAAGTTGCTGAACGACTGAGAGAGAGAATGAAGAAGTTGCTGAACGACTGAGAGAGAGAATGAAGAAGTTGCTGAACGACTGAGAGAGAGAATGAAGAAGTTGCTGAACGACTGAGAGAGAGAATGAAGAAGTTGCTGAACGACTGAGAGAGAGAATGAAGAAGTTGCTGAACGACTGAGAGAGAGAATGAAGAAGTTGCTGAACGACTGAGAGAGAGAATGAAGAAGTTGCTGAACGACTGAGAGAGAGAATGAAGAAGTTGCTGAACGACTGAGAGAGAGGATGAAGAAGTTGCTGAACGACTAAAGTCTTCTGATCAGCCTGTGTACTTCTCACATTCCTGGACCCATCAGTCAGGTCTCAACATGTGTCCAGAGAAAATCTGAGCTCTGTTAATGGTAGGTTTATAATTGGGGGCTTGTCAATGATAACGTAATCCCCCCCCCCCTTTGTTCATTGGTTTGAATTTGAATTATACTACCAGGGATGTGTTAAAAATGGTCTTTTAGTTGCTGATTGGAACATCTGTTGTAACATTATGTAAAAAAACAACTATGTAACAAAAATCTGTCTCTGATCTGACGCCCTTAACCTCCGCTTCTTGTGATAGTATTATAATTTAATGAATTCATTATTCAACATCAATTATGATATGTGATTTTGAAAGTGTATAACTTAAATAAAACCTATTTGGGTTCCAATAGTCAATAGGGCAGATAAAGTAGAGTTCACCTGTTTCTATTGTTTTAGCATAAGAAGGGATAGTGTGGTCAGCTTAGCCATCTTCATTACACCTAACTTGAATCAGGTACTCTTTAGAGCTGGGTTGACTCAAATATGTACAGCGCCCTCGAGTCTAAGAAATGAACTCAGTCCTTTTAGGTTAGCAGTTATACACTCTACTGCTCAACCACACTGTCCCCACACTTATATAATAACTTCATAATTCAGTGAACACACGCTTTATGAATATTTCAACGACAATCATGGTCATCTTCAATGTGCGCCACTTGCAAATTAAGATTTTGCAAGAAAATGCTCAAAACTTGGAAAGAATAACTGTACTGTATTTTTTAGTGTGTTGCGCCATGTTTAAATAATGTACTAAGTACATGTTCAATAGTAGTCTACTGGAAATATAAATAAGAATGAGGGGGATGTATACTGTGTGCTAGAAAGCTGCGTGAGAAGGCTAGAACTTATGACTATCTGGTGTGCAAGAGCGAATGTATATCCAAACGATTTATGGTATTGACGATATGCAATTACATGTGCACGATATGTTGTGTGATGACAGTATGTGTGCACGTTATGCTGTGCTAATATTTGTTTCTGAGAGCTATTTTCATCCTGCTGTCAGCCCCCTGAGCTCCAACTTTTACACATTTTTAACTGCGTGTGCTGCTTTGTACATTTTTACTTCTTTGTCTATTTTCTCTGGACCAATTAAAATGAACCAAAAAAAAAACAAATTACTTTATGTGCACAAGAAAGTATTTCCCTGTATAATCCTGGTTTAACAAAGGTGGTCTGTCTGCACTAAAGTGGCGTTAACATTATTTGCCTGGCTGCTTAAAGATGATATTTTCCAGTCTTCACACAAAGTTGGGTTTTTTTTTTTCTTTTTTTTTTTCTGGCCAGTTTGCACAAAAATTCTTTTTTTGTCTCATTGTGGCAATGTTAAAATTTTCCTGTCTTAGTCTGAATCTGTACATTCCCTGCTGGTCAGGGACTCCCTCAGAATAATAGCTGGCATTAATGTTTTGATAGTGTTTTGATATGTTTTAATATGCATTACATACAGTGGCGTAGCGAGGTCGGGTGTCACCCGGTGCGGCACTTAATGGTGTCACCCCCAGAGGCGTAGCGACCCTTCCCGGGGACAAACTTTCAAATTTTCGATTTGCACCCCCCCTTAAACTTTCGATTTGCACCCCCTCAAGTTTTTCTCTATATATTTTGCAATTTTTTTCCTTGGTGTCACCCCCCTAAATGGTGTCACCCGGTGCGATCCGCACCCCCCGCCCCCCCCCCTCGCTACGCCCCTGATTACATAGATTAGAATTGTGCAACAATCAATGCAATTTTCACATTACAATTTCAGTTTGATTTTAAGTTACTGTACTTTACTTAAGGGTTAAGGGTCACTTTCTAAGGTCTTGTATGTAAGAACATGTTTCACCAAATTTTTTTTTCCTGATTAATTTTAAATTGTTTTACATTATTTAATTAAAAGTTATACATTTTTAGGAATTAAGTAAATAAATTGTTACAAAATTTATGCACAATGTAGCAAATAAAATCATAACCAACTCAGTTGAATAAGCGAGTCTGGTTTATATTCCTTTTGATAATGTCCCCTATACATTTCAATTATTTTGAAATAATGTAACATTTTTACACGTCCCACAATATGTCAGGGATCCTCAGCAAATATGAAGCTAATTCAAATAACACATGAACTAATCTAGTGCGTAGCTTGCTGCTAATTTACATTTTCTGGAAATTTCTATACATGTTTATGTAGCAATTAGTTTAAATGTAGTATTTTATATTCATTTGATTTTGTGCAATTTCACTTAACAATTTAATGTTCTAATTCACATCATACAAAAATTTTTTTATTAAATTATTTTAATAATTCAGTCATTTTAAATGTATTTACGTTATTCTCACATTTTTCCTACATTTTTAATTGAAATATCTTAACACTGAAACAGAAAGATCACAATATTATAATATCGCAATTTTTCTAAAACAAGTAGGGCATATTTTCTCTTTAATTAAAGTTAAGATTTAAATAGCATTTAATTAGCACCTTATTGTTAGCTATCAATTAATAAAATTTTCTATTCTTTGCTAAACTTCGACACAAATTTAATACAGCAATATCTTATAGTCTGCTAATTTGTGCAGTAGAAAAACATATCACTTTTTTCTGTTATAATTAATCACATTATTATGAAATAATGTGTCTGAACGACCAAAAGCTTAATTTAATGAACACAAACAGGCTGTGTTAGATAAGGGTTATGAACATATTTTGTCAGATCTTTCACAAAGCTTCTCTCACACAACTTTTAACTGTAGCCTTGGCAACCAGCTACTTAATTTTTTTCTCGTGAATGAAATACTGTGATAAATATCTTGTAGATTATGGATGTGAAATTTGGAAACTTGGTGTGAAAGGTCACTGGGGTCACTATGCTTATGTCAGGTGTTTGTCTACTATATCTGTGATATGTGTAATTCAACCATGCTGAAACCATGATCAATAGCTTTGTTTCCTGGGCTGTTTGTCATGCATTATTATTACATGCTATGCAATGACTTTTTAAAATTGTGCAGATCTATTTTTTTACACAAAAAATATGTTCGACAATATAAATCCAATAAATATCATTTGATAATACAGCTTTGTTGCAACTTTTTTTTTAAACTTGTGAGACGATAAATTGTAATGTGGAAAGTAACAAAGTAAAGTTAATCATGATTTTACATTAAAGCTGGTTGAACTCAAGCAAGAAACGGATTTCTAGCTAACAGGGCGACATCGATGCTGACTGAAACATCACATGATGACTGTGTGTGAGGGTAGGGGGGGGGGGTGGAGATATATTCCGTAGAATTCCATTTTTATTTGTGTTGTTTTGTTTTTGCCAAATTCCTTCTACGTTCCTGTTTATCTCACAATTTATAAATCTTGCTTTGTTTGAGCGGGCTCACTCATAATTGTCCAAATGCAAACGAAATAAGACGTCCTTGTTTAAAGTAATTAGGGTATGGTTCGCTTAATGTCGTTTCACCTAACTTGGGTATGTTTCGCTTCGCGTCATAACATTAAACTGATATTGTTCGCTTAACGTCGAGAAACGTGTGTTGGGTATGTTATGCTTACCCCCGCCCTCCCCGTAAAGTTAGCCTGGTGTGGTTCGCTTCCCCCCTCTGCCATTTAAAGTTAGTTGAGCATGGTTCACTTAACGCCTTGACACTCAACAAGCAGACGTGTTGAGATCTTAAACTATTCAGGTGATCCCCTAAATATAGCTATCACGTGACAACTTGAAGATGTGTTACCTATATGGGGGGGGGGGGGTACATGGAATCGAGGTCTGACCAGGACATTGAACTCAGGTGGTTCTGACCGCGATAAATCTAATTAATCACAAGCAGCATACGCAATCACTGCCCTGTCTACTGTAATCTTGGATAAATGTGTCTCCATTGCTTGCTACTCTAAGACACTAATTACACTTCAGGGAGCGATAAGAAAATTGTTGAAGACAGAAATTACATGAGCTGGGTCCCAGGTATGTGTGATCGATATGGTGATTGGTTTTTTTTATATAATTATGAGTCATGTTTAGATAGTCGTTTGAAGAAGGAGGTGGGGGGAGTAAGTTCTCAGGGGAGAGGGAGAATATGCAATGTTTGTCCATGAATATATATATGTATAATATATATATATATATATATATATATATATATATATATATATATATATATATATATATATATATATATATATATATATATACATATAAAGCCTTTATATTTGTACATGTGTGGTTACATGTAAGTGTGTGGTTACGTTTAATCTGACTGATATGATACGGGGAATAAGGGAGGGGGAGGGGAGCGGGAAGTTCAAAGCCCACTTTATCGTCAGAGTTGTACAGGGCGTATTATAAGCCAACTGGGCATATGTCTTTTTGTATAGTATTATATTTACCGGGTTGAACAGAGCGGGTGTTAACAAAAGGTTTGGCATTAGGGTTTACCTTTTACTTACGGTGCCAGCGATACCCAGACCACTTTATAAAACCAACGCAAGGATCGATTCACTTTTTGTGTGTACCAGGGGAAGCAACTTGCGCAATTCTTTAAAAAATAACCGTGTAGATTTTTATTATAAACTATGAAAAAAAAATCTTTTATCTAGCTACATGCGATTTCATTTGATATATTATTATAAAAGTTGTGTATAAAAAAAAAATTTCGTTTTAGACCTGGATGTTTCATTTTTTTCTGTGAGACAAGCTATGTAATAATTAATGCGACCCACATCCAGCCCACATGATTACATGTAATTATGGCATTACGATTGCTGTGGCCATCAATATAATCAATAAGGCTGATCCATACACCCCACCCCTCCCACCCCGCCCAGTAACAGCCAACACCAGCAACTAGCTGAGCAGAAGTGGGGGGGGGGGGGGGCAGACATTGTCAGCGGGTGGTAGGGAAAGAGGGCAGTCCGGCTCAGTGGTTCTAAAGTTGTTGTGACTTGGGTTTTAAGGTAGTTCCGTTACTGCTTTCATGTACTGTCGTTTACACAATGGAGAAAATGCTTCAGTAGGTTGTATGTGAGCATGTTTTTTATTTTTTATTTTATTTTTTGGGTTAGGGATCTAAAGAAAATTTAGCTCAGCAAATTTATGGGACGGCGTGACCTAGCTGTAGAGCACTATAATGCTAACCCGCAAGTCTCGAGTTCAAATCCGGGTTCAAGTCTGTAGAACGTCCTTGAGTCCACTCAGAACCCTTACCGTACATTGACAGAACCCTTACCGTACATTGACAGAACCCCTTCCCTACATTGACAGAACCCCTGCCCTAGACAGAACCCCTGCCCTACATTGACAGAACCCCTGCCCTAGACAGAACCCCTGCCCTTTATTGACAGAACCCCTGCCCTACATTGACAGAACCCCTGCCCTACATTGACAGAACCCCTGCCCTTTATTGACAGAACCCCTGCCCTAGACAGAACCCCTGCCCTACATTGACAGATCCCCTGCCCTACATTGACAGAACCCCTGCCTTACATTGACAGAACACCTGGCCTAGACAGAACCCCTGCCCTACATTAACAGAACCCCTGCCCTACATTGACAGAACCCCTGCCCTACATTGACAGAACCCCTGCCCTACATTAACAGAACCCCTGCCCTACATTAACAGAACCCCTGCCCTACATTGACAGAACTCCTGCCCTACATTGACAGAACCCCTGCCCTACATTGACAGAACCCCTGCCCTACATTGACAGAACCCCTGCCCTACATTGACAGAACCCCTGCATGCCATTGACGAAGCCCCTACCCTACATTGACAAAACCCCTGCATGACATTGACGAAGCCCCTGCCCTACATTGACAGAACCCCTGCCCTACATTGACAGAACCCCTGCCCTACATTGACAGAACCCCTGTCCGACATTGACAGAACCCCTGCCCGACATTGACAGAACCCCTGCCCTACATTGACAGAACCCCTTGCCCTACATTGACAGAACCCCTTACCCTACACAAACTGCTAACTAGACTCCAGCTTTGATTCGGTGACACAACTCAGCTCCCAGTGTTTGAAGAACTGTTGGTATGGTGACATCAACAGCCGCCAGCTACATTCTAGGTAAACACCCCCCCCCCCCTTACACACACATGCACACTCACAAGTCAGACAAAACTATGTAGGAACGAAACAAGCTGCTTTGAATAAAAGTGAGCAAAGGAATTTTCTTTTAAATCGATATGCCAATATCTACCATTGTTTTCCTGACTTAGTGCAAGGTTGCCACTTGTCTGGCTACATTGTGTGGTGAGGTCGCCACTTGTCTGGCTACATTGTGTGGTGAGGTAGCCTTTTGTCTGGCTACATTGTGTGGTGAGGTAGCCTTTTGTCTGGCTACATTATGTGGTGAGGTAGCCTTTTGTCTGGCTACATTATGTGGTGAGGTAGCCTTTTGTCTGGCTACATTATGTGGTCAGGTAGCCTTTTGTCTGGCTACATTATGTGGTCAGGTAGCCTTTTGTCTGGCTACATTATGTGGTGAGGTAGCCTTTTGTCTGGCTACATTATGTGGTGAGGTAGCCTTTTGTCTGGCTGAGAGATAGCCAGCAGTCTGACTGTGAGGTTGCCAACAGGCTACACTGTGTGGTGAGGTAGCTAATAGCCTCTATACTTTGTCGTGAGAGGGTTAAATCTAGCTACACAGTTTTTGTAGGTACTGTAACCACAATCCTGCCACTGTGTGGGTACAGTAGTCACAATCCTGCCACTGTGTGGGTACTGTAGCCACAATCCTGTTACTGTGTGAGTACTGTAGCCACAATCCCGCCACTGTGTGAGTACTGTAGCCACAATCCCGCCACTGTGTGAGTACTGTAGTCACAATCCTGCCACTGTGTGAGTACTCTATGTAGCCACAATCCTGCCACTGTGTGGGTACTGTAGCCACAATCATGTTACTGTGTGGGTACTGTAGCCACAATCCTGCCACTGTGTGAGTACTCTATGTAGCCACAATCATGTTACTGTGTGGGTACTGTAGCCACAATCCCGCCACTGTGTGAGTACTGTAGCCACAATCATGTTACTGTGTGGGTACTGTAGTCACAATCCTGCCACTGTGTGAGTACTCTATGTAGCCACAATCATGTTACTATGTGGGTACTGTAGCCACAATCCTGCCACTCTGTAGGTACTGTAGCCACAATCCTGCCACTCTGTAGGTACTGTAGCCACAATCCTGCCACTCTGTAGGTACTGTATCCACAATCCTGCCACTCTGTGGGTACTGTAACCACAATCCTGCCACTGTGTGGGTACAGTAGCCACAATCCTGCCACTGTATGAGTACTCTATGTAGCCACAATCCTGCCACTCTGTAGGTACTGTAGCCACAATCCTGCCACTCTGTAGGTACTGTAGCCACAATCCTGCCACTCTGTAGGTACTGTATCCACAATCCTGCCACTCTGTGGGTACTGTAACCACAATCCTGCCACTGTGTGAGTACTGTAGCCACAATCCTGTCACTGTGTAGATCAATCATTTTCCCTCATTACACTACTAAAATATTAGCGGGTAAATAAAAAAGATAATTGCGTTGCCAACACAGAGAGGAAGAGGAGGGACGGGACGCCGTACCCTGGCATCCCATTGTTCTTCCCCCTCCCCACCCCCTCTCAACACAAGTTGATGTAAAGTAAACAAATTCGAAACCTAACAGAGGTTGTATTGATATATTTGTGTAATATATTCTAGCTATTATTATATAAAAGAAATTATTAAAACAGACACCAAACTAGTAGTGTTTCGGAGAAAGGGTAGTGTTCTCGTTGCTTTGAGAGAATGTAAACTAAAGACGTAAGTGTTAAGAGAATTAAACTAAACACATAAGGGTTTAAGATAGTTAAACACAGTTGCCGCTGTATATCTGGATGTCGTCCACAGCTACGTCACCTTGATTGAGGTGTGCTTGGAAGGTCAGCTGATTTAAAAAAAAATGTAATTAATTTATTATTTTTAAATAAAGATTACTCACAAGATACCTGATTTAAAAAAATTATGTGAAAACAAATTTCAATAAATTATGTACCCTGTAAATTCTACCACCAACTGTCACCCTACCCTGTACACTATCGCCCTACCCTGTAAGGTACGACTATCACCCTACCCTGTACACTACCACCCTAAACTGTACACTATCACCCTACCCTGTACAGTGTACAGGGTAGGGTAATAGTGTACAGTGTACACTATCGCCCTACCCTGTACACTATCGCCCTACCCTGTACACTATCGCTCTACCCTGTACAGTACCACTACCACCACTACCACCCTACCCTGTACAGTACCACTATCGCCCTACCCTGTACACTATCGCCCTACCACCACTACCACCCTACTCTGTACAGTACCACTATCGCCCTACCCTGTACACTACCACCCTACCCTGTACAGTACCACCACTACCACCCTACCCTGTACAGTACCACTATCGCCCTACCCTGTACAGTACCACTACCACCACTACCACCCTACCCTGTACAGTACCACTATCGCCCTACCCTGTACACTATCGCCCTACCACCACTACCACCCTACCATGTACAGTACCACTACCACCCTACCCTGTACACTATCGCCCTACCACCACTACCACCCTACCATGTACAGTACCACTACCACCCTACCCTGTACACTATCGCCCTACCCTGTACAGTACCACTCTCGCCCTACCCTGTACAGTACCACTACTACCACCCTACCCTGTACTCCGTCCCGGCCGGGATGTTGACATGTGTCGAGGTGTGGCTCCAGAAGCTGATGCCCTTGTGCTGGAAGGTCTTGACCACTGTGGACTGGATGTGGGGGCCAGTAGTCAGCAGCTCGAGGTAGGAGCTTGGACCCTTCTGGTACACGTAGAAGTCGACACAGAGGTCTCCGTGTGTGTAGGACGGGGTGTGGAAGCGGGCCACCCCCGGGTGGGTGGGGGATTCGCGGGCTAGCATGTAAGGATCTGGGTGACGGGAAAAGCAATTTCAGCATGTCGTATGATACTTTTTTATAATAATATCAAACCTTTTCGATCTACTTTGATTAGTAATTAAGTTCTATAATGATCGTTTTCTAATTTTCAAAACATGAATCTACTAATTTACACTATTACAATACAAATAATTATTTTTTTTAAAAGCGAAGCAATAAAAAGATAGATACCTGCGCCATTAGAGTTACCTGCCCCTGGGCCAGCAGGCGATGAACCGTTGTGAACCGTCCACTTCACGGCAGTGTTCTCGATGGTGACGCTACAGTTATTTGTCACAAAATGACAGCTCAGAAATGTTCCTGAAATGATGGGATATTTTTGGCATTAATGTAGATCTATACCTTAATACGGTATAAGGTCGCATTGTGTGGTTTTTATAATAAGACCAAAGTAGATACAAAAACCTGATCTGGGGTGGGGAGGAGGGGGGGGTCAGGACTTGTGTGACGATGAGGGAGGGTGTGAATTCTTGTGTGTTATAAAATTATTTTGGGAAAATGGAGTCAAAGTTCATAAATATGTTCAATGTAGACCGAGCTCAGAATCTTTTTCCTAGAGAAAAAAAAATGCATTTTTGAGTGTGGAGGTAGGCTGAGATGGAGGGGGGTGGAGGTGTCTAGGTTTTTGTGAAGATGGTGAAAGGGAAGGTAATTTTTTTTCAAAGCGTGATTTCGTTTAAATTATGTGACTCTGATTATAACAATTACCGTAACAGTCCAAAGACAGACATTTGTAGAACGCCCTTTTAGTAAATATAGGCTGCAGAGTTATTTTTCAGTTAGTATTGAGACATACAGGAATAAATGACTTGTAAAAAGAAAATACTTACGTGGGGCGAGTGTGGTGATGTGGCTAGTATCTGGGGAAGAAATGTAGATTGGTATTTAACAGTTGCAGTAATTGTATGGCCGATTGTAAGCAACTATTGTTTCATGGTAGACAATCCAAAATGTTAAAACCAATTTTTACGAAACTTAAAGAAGAAAATAATACACTACGGCATTTCCTGATGATCTTTTTTCAGCTTGGTTTGTAAGATACAGTAATACTTTTCTTCTTTCTATTGATAGTTTTGTTATTTGTTTGTTTGTGAAATTTTTAATTGACCTTTTTTTTAGTTGAAGAAAAACTCGTAGAAAATATTGACCGAGAAAGATGGACAGATGGCGAATACAATTTTTAAACTAAAATTATTTAACATATGTTGAACTTAGTTGTGCATTCTCTGCGGTATGTTTTATTATCTAGCTGATTAATTAAAATATGTACACACATTTTTGTGTAAAAAAGAAACGAATCAAAACAAATACATAGCTACACAGGTGACCTTTAACCCTACCTGTTAAGACATCCCAGCGAGAAACTGTAACAAGATCTAGATATTAATAGATTTCTACTTCTCTTTACAATCGTTATCTGACATGATCTGTCTACTAAGAATGTTAAAATAAGACACACAATGGCATTTCGTTTCACTAAAATTTATTATTTAATATTTACTTAAACAGCCTACAGTTAAGTTATTTTTTTCTATTGACCAACCAGCTTTACGTTAACTGGGATGTCTAGTCTAGCATGCCTTACAATAAGATGACATAGCCACTAGAAACCAAACGATCGGTAGGAAATCAAGACTAGAGTTAACCATTTCTGTGGTAGTAACGAAATGATTTTCCTGATCAGGAAATTCTCAATACAGAACGACAGTAACCAAGAAGTAGTGGTGGGAATGGTGAACTTTTAGAACCTTTAGAAGTCCTTTTTTCACCCCCACACAACATTAGGTCTTAGAACAGACACTGACCTCACAAAGGTCAAGTTTTAACAGTTCGGTGTGAGGAAAGCTTCAATGTTTAGACCTGGACTCCAATATAGAACTCACTGAGAGGGGGTTCAATGTTTATAGAGGTGGTTCAATGTTTAGAGAGGGGGTTCAATGTTTAGAGAGGGGTTCAATGTTTAGAGAGGGGGTTCAATGTTTAGAGAAGGGGTTCAATGTTTAGAGAGGGGATTCAATGTTTAGAGAGGGGGTTCAATGTTTAGAGAGGGGTTCAATGTTTAGAGAAGGGGTTCTATGTTTAGAGAGGGGGTTCAATGTTTAGAGAGGGGGTTCAATGTTTAGAGAGGGGGTTCAATGTTTACAAGACAATAGGAAGAGAAACATGTGCGGCAATTATACAATAAGAGAAAGAGAATATAACGTATGTGTTCTTCAAAAACCATGAAGGGCCATCCCACTGTAAAAAGTAGTTATTTAATGTATGGGTTCTTTAAAAACCACGACGGACCATCCCTTATGAAATGAGAAGATTTAAAAACCATGATGGGCTATGCCCTTGCGAAGAGAGAAGCTATATAATGTATATAATGTAAGGGTTTTTCAAAAAACATGACGGGCCATCCCCTTATGAAATGAGAAGCTTTAAAAACAAGTTAATAAAAAGTCTAGTGACAATTTAAGCGCAATTTCCTTATGTTATCTAAAAATAGATAGTGATCACAAAGACGTATAATGCTGGGGTGCGTTCAAGCTAGGAGAACGATCGGTTTGTAGGTGTTTATGTAATTTTTAAAAAAAAATTGTGACCGAACGAAAGGATATTTTTGAAAACTTTCTTCGGCAATATTGTTCTAAATTATGGCAGGAATCGATTGGTAAATGTTTCAAGTCGCTAAGTGGTCTGGTTGCCGAGATATGGGCCAAAAACTGCATTTATTCGAGGTTTTTTGGCTTTTCCGGGAAATCCAGGAAGGAATTCCGGGAATTTTTTTGGCCCACAATCATCCTCGGAACTTGCTTAACATATTTGCTTTGGAACTAGTCCTCGATATTGCTTCGTTGAGGAGGAGATACGACTTAAAGCTGCGGACACACACCCATACATCCAGAAATTTCGAGGTTTTTTGGCTTTTCCGGGAAATCCAGGAAGGAATTCCGGGAATTTTTTTGGCCCACAATCATCCTCGGAACTTGCTTAACATATTTGCTTTTGGAACTAGTCCTCGATATTGCTTCGTTGAGGAGGAGATACGACTTAAAGCTGCGGTAAAGCTGCAGACACACATTCATTCATTCATTCATTCATCCAGAAATGACGAGTTAATAATCGCAATTGTCCGTATGGAAATTGCGCTAAAAACGATGACGGGCCATCCCCTAGTTAACACAGAAACCAATGCAGATGTGAGCCTACCTTCACGGCACCCATACAGTCTTTGGATCTTAAGTACGTCCGTGACAGACAGGCTGGTTCTCTGGCCCAGACGTTCCTCCACGATGTGCCCGGGCTTGGGGGTGATGACTGGGTGGGTGCGGTCTATGGCGAAGGTGTAGGGGCCGTAGTGCATGATAGAGCCGTAGTCGTAGGCCGTGTGCAGGTTGTTGGAGCTCGTCGGGATAGAGAAGTCGTGGTGGTACTCTGGGATATGGGATACGATTGTGGTTGTAGTATGGGATATGGGATCAGATTATAGTATGTGGTGGTACTCTGGGATATGGGATACGATTGTGGTTGTAGTATGGGATATGGGATCAGATTATAGTATGTGGTGGTACTCTGGGATATGGGATACGATTGTGGTTGTAGTATGGGATATGGGATCAGATTATAGTATGTGGTGGTACTCTGGGATATGGGATTAGATGATATAGTGGTACTCTGGGATATGGGATCAGATAGTGATTGTTGAATGGGATATGGGATCATATTATAGTATATGGTAACAGCACCATGACTTACCTGTATTACTCCCACAGCACAATAACTTACCTGTACTACACCTACAGCACCATGACCTACATTACAAACACACAGCACCATGACCTACCTGTACCACACCCACAACACCATGACCTACCTTTATTACACCCACAGCACCATGACCTACCTGTACCACACCACATCACCATGACCTACCTGTACCACACCCACAACACCATGACCTACCTGTACCACACCCACAACACCATGACCTACCTTTATTACACCCACAGCACCATGACCTACCTGTACCACACCACATCACCATGACCTACCTGTACCACACCCACAACACCATGACCTACCTGTACCACACCCACAACACCATGACCTATATTACACCGACAGCACCATGACATACCTGTAACACACCCACAGCACCATGACCTACCTGTCTTGACGTTGGCCATGTTAATGTTGATGTAGTTGTCCCTGTCAGATCTGTTGTGTTCGTGCCAGAAGCCAATGGTGTGGATGAGCTCGTGCATGATGATGCCCTTGTACTCACACCCTGGACCTATGGACACGCTCTGCCTGCCGTTGTTGTTGTAGCCAATCGCTGAGTGACAGCTGGCCAGGATTTTATAATTACATTTTATTTATTTTTATCTGGCAATGTTTTGTTTAAATTACATTTTATTTATTTTTATCTGGCAAAATGTTTTGTTTAAATTAAATGTTATTTATTTTTTCTGACAATGTTTTGTTTAAATTACACACAGGGCAGATCGTTGATTGTTAGGTTTATTTTGTTTTAAACTGTGTTTTGTGAGTTTAGTGATAAATAGTTTGAAACAATAATTCAACGTTTAAAACTAATGTGTAGTTCGTACTTTGACTGGGTATTCTATAGAATGGTAATGCTAACGCTAACTCTAGTCCTGTCAGATACGTTTAGAGTTTAGGGTCCATTTACAATCGACATAGGTGGGGTGGGGGGTTGAATCCTGCTTACTTTCTACTTTAAGTGTGGGGGGGGGGGGGGTAATATACAGACGAAGGGGTACATGGAGGAGGTTGGGGGTGGGGGGCTGTTGATCTGGGTGTAACGACTGGGCGTGATGGTAATTATCAGAGGGTGGTGTCCTTCTTGGTGGCGTTGTCGGGTAGGACAACTAACTCGAAATTCCAGATTTGAACTCAGGGCAGATGACGCACGTAAACCGGGGCATCAACCCATCTGGGAGAGAAAACACCGAAATCAAACAGACCCCCCCCCTTAGGTCATCTATAGGATCATCTCTGATTTCCTTTTGAAGCTTCGCCTACCGAAGTTTGTACAAACGTATTGCTTAGCTTTCCTTTGGACCAGCAAAGGTCTAGTAAGAGATCACTATGTATGGGAAGCACGTGATCTATTCATCTAATCCATCGTCTCTCGATGTTAAATAGAGCCATAAATAGTGCTCTGCTCCCAACTGTTCAACCAACTGACCAACCCACAACCCAGACTCATAAAGAAACTGACCCAGTTCCTCTGTGATGTTCGTGGTATGTTCAACCAACTGACCAACCCACAACCCAGACCCAGGAAGATACTGACCCAGTTCCTCTGTTGATGTCTATGTATGTGGCCTGTGATGTTCGTGGTATGAACTTGATACACTCTGTTGGTCCGTTGATGTCTCTCTCCAACTCTTGTATGGCCGCCATTATTGTGTTGTGTATCACAGTGGCTGGAGATTTGTTTTCATTACATTCAACGTAGTTGTGTTTTACAACCAAATTATTTTACCGGCAAAGTATTTTCAATTTTATCGTCAAAGTATTTTACCGCAAAAGTAGTTGTATTTTACAGACAAAGTATTTAACAATCAAAGTGTTTTACCGGCAAAGTATTTTCAATTTTATCGTCAAAGTATTTTACCGTAAAAGTAGTTGTATTTTACAGACAAAGTATTTTACAATCAAAGTGTTTTACCGGCAAAGTATTACTTACGGAATACTTAAAGTAGTTATTGCCTACGATATACTTATAGTAACTACTATATACTCACTGTAATTGCTACTGATGATGTATGGTATATGACCTTGAGGCCAACGGTGATTGAGGTTTGCTATGGCATTCCTGTGCTGGAAACAACATAATGGGATACGCACTCATAAATAACGTAATGGATCTACACTTACTCATACATAACATAATAGGTCTACACGTACTCATAAATAACATAATGGTACACGAACTCATAAATAACATAATGGGTATACACGAACTTATAAATAACATAATGGGTCTACACGTACTCATAAATAACATAATAGGTCTACACGTACTCATAAATAACATAATAGGTCTACACGAACTCATAAATAACATAATAGGTCTACATGAACTCATAAATAACATAATAGGTCTACACGTACTCATAAATAACATAATGGGTCTACATGAACTCATAAATAACATAATAGGTCTACACGAACTCATAAATAACATAATAGGTCTACACGAACTCATAAATAACATAATGGGTCTACAGTCTACACGAACTTATAAATAACATAATGGATCTACACGAACTCATAAATAACATAATGGGTCTACAAGAACTCAAAAATAACTTACAAATATGATTCACGTGAATTATCGACTTACTAATAGTATAACTTAGTAAGATAATTATCTTTAAGCTAATAGAAGTAACTCACCCCCCCCCCCTCAACATCCCACAACAAATGTAGCAGCTGCATGTGTTAAATTTAAAAAGAACAAATTGACGTATACTTCAACTTACCGGGTAAAACTCCACATCACCAATAATGACGGTTCCTTCTGGCGTGTACTGTAAGTTTTCGACATTTAGATATTCAAATCCGTCTGCTTAAAGAAGATCAACTTTATACAGAATAAGGTTTACAAAAAATATTTTGCTATGGGAAACAACTTCAGATGTTTTTATCACATCTCACATGTTAAATAAAACAATTACTGGTTTAATGAGAAGTATTGTTAGGTTTACTCTACTAAATTACAAAGAAAATTTGTCCAGATTTATTGTACACATGTGTTGCGTTTACACTTGCTTTTGGTAAATACAACATTAAAATGTTCTTTACATATGTGGGGCGTCTCATTGATTGATTCAACAACAGCAACACGTGGCTATTACCTAACTTACAACAACAACTACAGCATAATGTAGTTACTACCTTACAACAACAACACAATATGAAGTAACTACCTAACTTACCAACATCTGATGACTGTTGAACCTAAATGGAGTAAAGTCAAATATTCTAAATTGAAATAAATTTCTACTACTGACTTTACTTTTAAGATAAGGACGTTTGATTTATAAAATTATACCTGAAGTATTTTAAATTATTATTGAAAATTTCAAGAAACCGTCTGCACAATATACAATCTATTGGTTGAAAACCATTTAGGCAATATTTTTTCATTATATCTGTAGTTAATCATTTAGACTAGATGTCTCATAATCTTTATCTCTTAGAAATAAAATAGCTAAGAACAAAATATTTCGACTTTGTTTTAGATATTTCTTCTTATATTAGTTTTTTTTTACTTACATCATCAACCTGTAAAGGGGCAGACAGTACACACGTGACCGCTGCAGCAGCCGTCAACAACAGCAAGCAGCGAGCCATTTTTCGCCAGGACAACGGGACTAACAGCATTACACGTGTTTTTATTACATTTCCAGCACAATTTCTCACGCGTTTCATTGGTTAGATAACGAATTACAGCGTTATGTCATTTTGCTTGTAAAAAAAGACATTTCTCCCAGTGTCGTAGTCGACATAGAATATATAAAAATATTAAAGTGGTGTTTTTATTTTTACTCCCCACTTCACATTGTAAAATTGATAAATGTTACTACTATTTACATTAGGACATATACCTAATTAAAATTTACACGGAAAAACTGAAAAAAAAAGTTTAAAAAACAATTTTATTATTTAGGTTAATTGCTAAATTGTGGTGTCACCATTTCAGGGCCACTATCCAATCATCACAAGAGTCCGAACCCTACTTCCTACTGTAAGTGTGAGCTAATTTATGGATACTTCTTTAAGTTAAGAAAAACTTTACCTCACACAAATAATTCCAATAATTTTTTGCAGTCTGTGATTAAATGAATTTGGTTATCAAAGACTTTTTATGACAATCGTTTTTGTTAAAAATTGTATAATATTTGTCTATATTTGCTATTGTGTTGTCGCCCTTTATTGATTACTTTTAAATTGTGCTTCTTACATGGCCTTTACAAAACAAAGAACAGCTTGAAGCTTTCAGCTTGTGATATGGAAACAAGCCCTTAAACCATTCTCCAAGATATCTTCCACCTTCATCGCGTACTAGCTGAAAACGCTTCTGCCAATGTTAACCCAATTTTCTGACAAGATTTGCTTTAATTTACTCAGTAGCCTTTAACCCCTAGATTAAATTAAATTGTAAACAATTACATAAATGAACTATACATCGCCCAAAATGATGTCACGCTTTTATCGCTAAATGTGTACTCCCTCCACTCCACAAATAAATTAGCCCCATTAAAATGACGTCACACGTGTTTCGTCTTTACTTTAAAAGAAATATACATTGGATGAAATGTTAATAGGGCCTACTTTATTTCGAACTCGTCAAAGTTCATCTATGAAAATGGTACCTAAGTAGTAAGCTATGGGAAGGCGTAGCCTAGCGGTAGAGCGCTAGACTGCTAACCTGAAAGTCTCGAGTACGAATCCGGGTTCAAGTCAGTAGAATATCCCTGAGTCCACCCAGCTCTGGTGGGTACCAAAAAAGACGGCTTGGCATAGTGCTGGACACACTCGCCCTTCATATGCCGAGGTCTCTGAAACAGATGAACTCTACTTCATCTGCCCCATGTGTCTTGGACACGAACGGGAGAAGAAGAAGAAGAACCAGTTAGCTGTAGCAACTAGCACGCAGAATCAAGAGTTTAAAGTTTCAATCAAGAACTTAAAGCAGATGTGATACTGGCGCTCAAAATATTTTCTGCTGGTGCTCAGAGTTGCATAATAAATATAGGCTAGATGGTGCCGTGTTTGTACTCATCAGGAGCTCAAGTACTTTAAATTTTCCAAACTCATTTTAGAAAAGCAAATCAATGTCTGGTCTATCATTACAATCTGGCATATGTTCCTATTGCTGCACTATCTGACCGTACTTGGTCCTACAAGCTTTGGCTTGGAACACGTGACATTTTTCAACACATTCACACGAAGTGTGCATACTTCTGTCCTTATAAAAATGTTTTTCTTTTTTTACTTTTTTTATCCTTAAAATGGAATTTTAATTATTTATATTCGACATTTAGAAAAAAATATTTTAATATATTTCTATATGATGAGCGCCACCATATAGACCCAGTCAGACAGATATACTTATGTATTATCTCAGGTCTTAATTAGGACGTCTGTGCCTTGAACCACAATGGTGTGTGCTGACGAAGACCTTGGGTCGAAACGTCCATTGTACCTGCAATTTAGTGTAATTGTCTTTAACTTGTGAGGTAACTAGCACCACCTGTTTTATTACTAATTGCATTAACCTCACTGCAGCTACCATTTGTATGCAGTGTTTCTTCCAGACTTTTTTCCCGGGGGGGGGGGGCACTTGAAATCTTCGGGGGGGGGGGCGGTAAACTTTCTTCGGGGGGGGGGGGCGGACACTGTTAAAAGTATATATTTTCTATATAAATTATATAAATTTAATTTCGTTCGTGGGGGCGGTAAAAAAATTTCGGGGGGGCTTAGCCCCCCCCCCCCCCGAAGAGATGCCTGGAAGAAACTCTGTATGTATCTGAATGTATCATGTAACACTGTTAGCACTGCATGACGACTGCGCAGTGTCGGTTCTGTAGGGAGGCTGGTTGAGTTGTCATTTCGTTTGTGCTGGCTTTTTGTGGGAAGGGGGGTGGGGGGAATGATTAGCCTGTTGTATAAACCAACATCAAATTGCTGCTAACGGAACACATTGTTGTGCCACACTTCCATTCACCCCTCTTGTCTACCAAAGATGACAACTTTGATTTTCCTCTAAAACTCAGGGAAACTTAGATCACAGTTCCTGGGATCAAATAAGGGGAAATAACCATTTTAAAGTTGTCCGTTATATGGTTATTTCTCTTTGTTCTCTTGTGGTTGAAGTAAACACGCACACAAATAATTAAGAAATTATTTTAAAAGGGTGCAGAAACAAAAAGAGTGTGAAATTGAGCTTCTGCTACTTCGCCATTAGCTTCCTCTCCGTACCATGGATATTAAGTTTTGAAAGGGTATTTAATAAAAAAATCTTTCTTAAAAAGTACCAGCAGTCTGTTTCGTAACCAGGTGTATTTATATTTCTCCCGATCGTGTTTTCATACCCGAATCATTTTTATTTTGGGAGTTTGGGACAGTGTTGACTGTTCACCTATCAGTTGGCATGCAGTCATATAAAAAACTACCCGCATTGCTAAATAGTTCCAACAGAACAGAAAGCAGGACACATTAATAAAACGTAGAAATTGGAAAAGACACCTTTTTGTAGGTTGAATACAGATTCTCGTGTCTTCTGTTCTCTGACAGTGGAGATCTCGCCGAGCGCACAATCTGGCATAAAAACAGAACTTGGCGCTTGCTGTTCTCTCGTCGGCAAAATCTTGCCAAACATGCGCTTAATCTTAACTAATTCACATACCTTATTAATTTTCGTCAAAATAATGTATTAAGTTGTTCTGTTTGTGTTTTTTTTTAATTTAAAGATACCTAATTAATAACAATTAAATAATATAAAAGCAAAAAAACAAAAATGTAGTTTTCCTTTATTTTTTTAAAAACGCTAAATAGTACCATTTAATTAGGCCGGATATAGAATGGGAAGGTCAAGGTGAACCTATGCAACAGTCGACGCATCCTTCTTTCTTGTGGCTGAAACATCGGAAAATGTCACATTAGTGCTCTTCCGTGACCAAAAATATATTTTAGAAACAAAAGAAAAGTTACCATTATGACCAAGCTCACTCTACGAAAGAGTTCATTAATCACTGCATGTGTAGAATGATCATATGGCGTTGGGGAGGGAGCGGGGTTCACTCTTTCCCTTATATATATATATATATATATATATATATATATATATATATATATATATATATATATATATATATATATATATATGTATATATATATATATATATATATATATATATATATATATATAGGGAACGGGGATTACAAATTAAAAATCAGCTCTACATAAATATAATGGCCGCTACACTAACAGTCAATATACGCGATGTGACATGTCATAGCTGTAAAGGTAGAAAGATAAATAGAGATTTTGTTATCAAGGACAGCGTCATTTTCCGACGACGTGCAGCACTAACTTACGGTTTCTATATCGTGACCATCGGAACAAATCTTGGGCGGCATGAAGATGGAGGCGCCTTTGATCCCAGGTGTGACGTCAGACACGAGCAGGCTGTTCAAGGTGCCGCTGTCTGGTACCACCGAGTTGGTCATGAAGACGGCATAGGCCGGCGTACAAGCTGAGATAACAAAACAAGGTGTAGCTGACTTTACTTTTACTGGCATTTTAAAAAGAAAATGGCGTCCATTTTCAATTAAGGAGTCGGCTTTGAGCAAGTTTTATATAATGGGTAACCCCTGCTAAAGTTTTTTTTTTGTAACATTGCCTAAAAGATCTATTTTTAACCCAATATATTTGAAGTGTAAAGCAGTTTAGTAAAGTAGGACGTCATTTCAAATAAGCGTTGCTCTATGCAGACGATATTCAAGATGGCCGCAGGCGGCAATCTAAAATAGTCGACTTATTAACATTCATCATCCGAAGGAATTTTGCCAAATATGGATCGATTTTTAAATAAGTAATGATGATCAATTTTTAAGTATGTAATGATGATCGACTTTTAGATAGGTAATGATGATCGATTTTTAAATAGGTAATTATGACCATGTTTTAAATATGTTATGATGATCGATTTTTAAATAGGTAATGATAATCTATTTTTAAATTATTAATGATGATCGATTTTTAATAGGTAATGATGATCTATTTTCAACAAGGTAATGATAATCGATCATTCTCTTACACCGTGGTTCGATGGTTACAGCGGCTGTGTAAGGAGAGTCGGGGACGACGTACTGGAAGGTTGCCGTGTTCGTCTCGTTGAAGCCGATAAATCCATAGGTCAGGCGTAGCGCGCTATCTGAAAGGGAAACACGAAATCTGGATCTTAATAGGTGGATTGGTTTCCGCGTTGGGGTTTAATTAAATAGTTAAGAGACGAACTCATGTTCTACCCAGAGACTAACACGGTTCCTTTTGGACATTTGTTTTGGAGGAAATGCCGAGGTCACAAAGATTGGTGAACTCTACGTCACTTGTGACATGGACCGTTGTCAGATTCGAAAAGGAACTATTTACTTTTTTTTTGGGGGGGGGGGGGAGGTCAGTGGCGTAGGCAGGGGGGTTAGGGGGGGGTCATAACCCCCCCATAGACCCCTCGGTATATATAAAAAGTATGAGGGGGGTGCAAATCGAAAGTTTGAGGGGGGTGCAAATCGAAAGTTTGAGGGGGGGGGGGTGCAAATCGAAAGTTTGTCCCCGGGTAGAAATTGGAACCCCACCCCCTTGAGACGATCCTGGCTACGCCACTGGGGGAGGTTCTATTTTGTCTGGAGGGGAGTTGGTGGAGAGTTGCCTGAAAGAAACACCCCCCAACACTGCTGATTGAGTTAAATTGGCACCCAACCTGTGTGTGCTATATCGATCGGTATATTGTGTTTACTGGTGTGTAGCCTGCATGTAATTTAATGTATATGAGCACCCTCTCGGCTAGCATGACATTTAAATATTAATGCATGTAGTACATGTCAATTATGTTCAGACAAAAACAATATATTCTTCACAACACACCCCTCTGCCCAATTTTTACATACATTTCGATAGTGTGTTTTTTTACACAACATTCTCATGCTAAATCTGTCCCACCACAAAGAACTTCATAAGAGTTGATGGAATACACTAAACATCAGGTTACCTGGACTAAACATCAGGTTACCTGGACTAAACATCAAGTTACCGGTATTAGACCAAACATCAGGTTACCTGGACCAAACATCAGGTTACCTGGACCAAACATCAGGTTACCTGGACCAAACATCAGGTTACCTGGACTAAACATCAGGTTACCTGGGATAGGCTAAACATCAGGTTCCTTGTATTAGACCAAACATCGGGTTACCTGGACTAAACATCAGATTACCTGTAATACACTAAACATCAGGTTACCTGGATCAAACATCAGGTTACCTGGACCAAACATCAGGTTACCTGGATCAAACATCATAATACCTGGAAGACACTAAACATCAGGTTACCTGGACTAAACATCAGGTTACCTGGACTAAACATCAGGTTACCTGTAATAGACCAAACATCAGGTTACCTGGACTAAACACCAAGTTACCTGTAATAGACCAAACATCAGGTTACCTGGAATACACTGCCGCTGGAGAGAGCCGATGCTTTGCTTGTCACATTGACTGTTGTGGAACATGTATTGAATGCCCTGGGAAGGAAAAGGTCAGACCCATTAGGCCATGGGACTCTCTTCCCTTAATGCTTCTGTCCTTTTATAAACGTCAAATCCCAATGTTAGACAGGAAAAAATATTTCGAACACAACGCAACAAACACTGTTTGCCGTGTGGGTCACGTGATGAAAATATAAAACACGTGTGACCATCCCCGCCCCATATAACATAATAAAGATATTATTTATTTATTTTTGAAACACCCCCAAATGATGTAACAAATCCAGAAATATCCCCACTTCATACAATTAACCCTCACGAGATTTTTAACGGAAATAACCAGCAAAGATACTTTGATTAGTTAGAGTTAGGCTTGTGGCAAAGGGTTAACAAACACAATAATGTTAATGTTATTAAAAATCTATCAATTCTTTCAAGTAGGTCTACTTTGATTGACTTTAAAACTTTAAAAAAAAATGTAAAAAAAATAAACCTACTTTGACGTAATCGTTGATGATTGTGTACTCAGATTTCACAGGCTTCGGAATCAGGGGACTTAACTCTACTGCAGTCACGTTAAACCACGTTCTCTTGTTGGTGTAATCATAAGCGACGGCCATTGTGCTGTTGATGTAGCTGTGGGGGAGGGGGGAGGGGGGGGGGGGGGGGCTTACGTTAGCTGGTGACAATGGTGTGACAGTGATGTATTAACACACTTAAACTAACAATAACTCAATGTAAACTGCAGTTTTTAAAAGTGGATTCGTAATTTTGAAGACACTATTCCCCGATAAAAATGATAAAACTTGTAGCTGTATGTGCACATCAGTCTAATACTGATACAACACTAAAAACATTTTCATCTTAGATAATTACCTATAGTCCATACATTTCGTTACATTAATGAAGCTGATTTTAGCACAATGATTAGTAACGTTTTATTGGACACGGCGGCAGGGGAGACACACACACACACACACACACACACACACACACACACACACACACATATATATATATATATATATATATATATATATATATATATATATATATATATATATATATATATATATATATATATATATATATAACTTATTTTGTCGCACTTTCTCACTAAAAGCAAACCCTTTCTAAAAGGACATCAACCTCTAATCACATACCACATCATGTGTGGACGAAACCTAAGCCAGTATATGTTAATCAAACATCATCGCATGCATATTAAAACTATCTAAATAACAAACCACGGTTAACGCTGCTTAAATTGCTTGATTTTTTTCAGTATAAGACTCTGATAGGCTAGTGTTACTGAAAACATTTCGATCATCTCCTACTCAGCTAAAATACTGAACACACGGGTTTACATGCATACAGTTTTGTAAAATAACGGAAATAAAAAATAACTTGAACGTTTATTAAAACATGGAGATCAACCGTACATTTCTATCAGCGACAGCTCAGCTTTGAGGATTTTTTCGTGAATTTATTCATATAAAACGGTAAGTGGCTCTGGGTCATAGTAAATGTTTGACTATCTGCTGTATTTATTACATAAAAACGGATCTATAACAACGATTTGGGTAGATTTGTGAACTCTTGACATTCGAAAGTTTGAAACAGATATCATTGTCGCTAATAGCTACTCAATGTGAGAAAAACAAATTTCGGGCCATGAGTAACTGGGTGTGTGTGGGGGGGGGGGGGGGGGGGGTGAGAGTACTAGACCTCTCAACATTCCTGTCTGTCTACGCCACTGAGAAAAACGGCTGTACTTTGTTATTAAAACGGTGCTTTGTTAATGTATAACCCATTTAGATTGCAGATTACTAATAATATGAAACGCTGTCAATTCGTAATGACTGTCTCGAAAACTTACCTGTAAGCGGTCCCCAACATTAGCATCGATAAAAACATTGGCATCATCGTACACCACGTTCGCTTCAAACTGATCTGGCAGACAGCAAATATCACCAAAACACGGATCGAATCCCAACAACACCGCTGCTGCTGTCAAAATTGTATTTATTTTAGAAACCATTTTATTAGGCGTGCAACTGTAAAGTGTAAGCAGTTGCTTTTTTCTCCATGCGTCTTGGTGATATCCGATAATTGTAGAGCCACGTAGGCCTGTACTAACATGCGAAGATCATACGCTTATCATTAAGATAATGACAGGTCAAGTCTAATCAATATAATATATCGTTTACTTCAAGTGAAAAAAAAAACATAATTCGGCCCAATATTATGGTAGGCTATCTAGAGTTATATTCTATATGACACGTATAAAAACTGTATTCTCAATAGAAATCTAAATGTCCGAACCAATGTCTTCTTGTTAGGCAATATCATTAAAAACATTACTTGAGAAATTTCCGTAGAGAATTTTAATTTTATCGCTGATTGAGAATTAAAATTGCTTTTGAATTCATACTACAAGGGTATTTAATAGAAGCAATGAAGGGGTCGTCCATAAATGACGTCACACTCACAGGGGGAGGGGGGTCCGTTTTTTTGTGACGATGTGTGACGATGTGTGACGAGGGGGAGGGGGGGGTGGGGGTTCAGATGGTGCGACGTCACACTGCAATTTTGACGGGGGTTGTAGGCTGAGGTATGACGTCATTTTAGGGGGGGGGGGGGGGGCTGGCTTTTTGTGACGATGTGTGACGGAGGGGAGGGGGGGTAAAAATCGTCCAAAAAAGCGTGACGTCATTTATGGATGACCCCCAAGCGCGTAATTTTTTTTGCTCTTTTTACTTAATTTTCTCAAGGCAAAGAAAGAATGCAAACTAAAAAAAAATTGTATTGCATTCGGTGTTGTGAACAGAATGTTGAAAGTGTATTGTATCTTAATTTATCAGTTTTTTACGGATCGCAATAGATTCTATCGGATTGTGTCGTGAGGTATCCTGTTGTGAAAATGGTTGGTTTATTTCATAAAGGGATGTGTGGGATGGGTGTGTCTGTGATGGCGATGACCTCGGGAGAGCGGAAGCTAATAGGTAAAGGACAGCTATTATAAATGGTATATCACGACGTCTTCTTTGAATTGTGCAATAATATTCATATAAAAGTTGCGCAAAAGAAATGTGTATCATAGGCCTTATCGTTGCTAAGAATATCATATCAATATTAGGGCCTATATCGAGTGAATCAGATTTTGTTGTATAGAGAGTTGTGTCAAATTAGGGCCTTAATCCAGTGGCGCAAGATCGGGTGTCACCCGGTGCGGCACCTCATGTGTCACCCCCCTTTTTTCTCTGTAAATCTTGCAGTTGGTGTCACACACACACCCCTTTCCCCCCCCCCCCCCCCCCCCCCCCCCCCCCCCCCCCCCCCCCCGTAAAAGCTTTAAAGTTTTCACGTTTAATACTGATGATGTTTATCTATAGTCGGTTGTTAATACAGCTGGGTGTAGCATTGTTTTCTCTATAGTTTGCATGTTTTATATGTTTACGTCACGGTGTCACCACTCCGCACCCCCCCCCCCACCCCAAACACTAGTCAGGATTGTCATTAAATACTTAAAATGATTTTAAACTCTAATTAACCATTCATTGAATTGGCAAAAAAAAATATTCTATAAATCTTGACTTTTTTTGTCTTAGTGTTATCCCCTAAATGGTGTCACCCAGTGCGATCCACACACACACACACACACACACACACACACACACACACGCCTCGCGACGCCTCTGCCTTATATCGTATCGCAAAGAGTTCTGCTTGTGTGTCTGTGTGTGTGTATGTGTTTTGGGTTTTAATTGCGAAGTGTTTTGTTGTGATAGTCTATTTTAAAATGTGCTTTTTATTGTTGTTTTTTTTTTAAGAGAATACTGGAAGTCGTGTAGGTTGCAGCATACATACTGGCCTGATGTGCATTTAATCGAGTTTGTGTCCTGCTTTCGTTGTGTTTTGTTTTGTTGTGTTTTGCTGTGTTGTGTGTTGGACATATTTTATAACATACGTTTTTCTTAGATTTGCTATAGGCCATAGGCGTAGCATTGGTCAACTGTGTTTTTATACAAATGTCTATATATTAAGCTTTTAAATCTATAGGATAGATAGACCTATTATTAGTACATACTGGGATTCTGCAACCATATTTTAACAAATTAAAATTTAGTTTGGCAACAAAATGACCTAATTGTTGGCTCTGTGGCTACTTTTTAGTATTTTTAGGCCTGGTCTTCTGTTTACTTCCCGTTTAGATGCAAAATAAATGCCGGTTAGTCCTCAAAGGAAAAAAAATAACACTATCCAATTAAGGTTAATTATTCAGTTATTTTGATAAAATAATTCAAATGTTTCTTTTAAATTTTTAAACATTTTAAACATTTATAATTGAAATTGCAATTTAATAATTTGATTTTTAAAGATTAATTTTAAATTATGCTATGGCAATTCACAGCTGATGTTAACTGGTCATGTCGTTCTGAATAATTTTCTGTATATTTAATAATAAAGGACCGGACAGTAAATAACAAAATAGACTTTAAAAGACAGAATCCTCAATATAGGTACACACTTTCTAGATCTAGATCTACCTATTCTAGATTGAAGTAAGCGAAGGGCTAAATGAGGTAAGATCTTTTAATCGCTCGAAGTAGGGATGTTACCAGTGTCTAATAAAAGTAATAATTGTGTCACAATGTGAGATAAATAAATGATAAATGACTAGATCTAGATCTAGATCTAAATATTGTAGATCTACTAAATAATAAATATTAAATAAATAGGCTACTAAATAAAATACTAAATACTAAATGAATCATTTAGTAAATGATGTTATTGTAGTTAGATTGTGGTTTTTAGTGAGTGTGACTGTGTTAGGCGTTAGAGTTAGGCTACTTTTTCTGTCTTTCAAACTATGAACTACTGTCTCTTTTTCAATCTTGTGAAGTCTTTTGCAAGCACTGGTTTCAGTCATAGAACAGCAATTCTCACGACTAGATCTAGATCTAGATGATAGATCTAAAGACTAAAAAATATTTAAATGAAGTGGCTATTCTATTCGGATCCAGGTCCAATAAGCCCAAAGAATACAATTGACTTAGGGCCTACTACACATTTACTATTTTACTAATTTACTTCATTACTTCATTTAGTCATTTAGGCCTATTTTTTTTTCTTACAAAGTATCAGAATTTAGAATCTACTGGTGGCTCTTCAAGTGCAAATATTATCTATTTAGTAGTAGGCCTATTTAATTTTATAATTTAACATTCAGCTTCTTCAATATTAAATAATAAATATTGTTGCAGTTTTCAACAGTTATATGAAGCATATTTCATTTATTCTCATGTTCTGTCCATTTATTTCTCTTTGTTTTCATTATTTTCAGATAAAAGAAAATGTGACAGTTATTGAGATCTTGTGAAGAACCCAAAACAATGTATTATGCTTTACCAGTTTCGTTGATCTAGTGACTTCTTTAATTAAAAAGACAGTTAACAGTTATTTTATTTAGGCGAATGAAATTAAGACAAATTTAATGTTAGAACAAGAGGTAATGTCATGTGAAACTGACATGGCAGGACAGTCCCCACTTGCTCTCAGTGTGCAGCAAGAAGTACAGTTACGTTTTCTTGGTCCTGCAGATGTGGCTGAAGTAAAGAAACTTTGTAGAGAATGGTTTCCAATAGAGTAAGCTCATGATTGCCTTATAACTGTTATTTATATTTCATTTTGCTTAAGATAGATGATACATTTGTATTAAGTAATATTTTTAAAAATGCTACATTATGCCTGAAACTTAAAAATATATTTTGTGTTTTAATCAGCTACTTTTAAATTAATATGTAGAATAGTTTTCTTTCTCTGGGATTTAGTCTTTGTTTAAAATAATTGGTGCTGTTGTATTATACTATTATATTGTTAATGTTCTAATTAGATATCCAGATTCGTGGTATGAAGAGATCACTTCCAACTCAAGATTTTATTCTTTAGCTGCCACCCATCACGCTCGTATTATAGGTCTGATTGTGGCAGAGCTTAAACCTCAAGGAAAACTGAACAAGGAAGTAAGTACTTAACTTCTTCAAACTGACCCTAACTTATGACTTACATACAACATAAATTTACAATAAATCAATTCACAAATCAGTCATATTTGTGACTTTCTTGGTGATTCAATTTTAATGTTCTACCTTTTTATTACTATTATTTTGTCATATTTTTTGTTTACATGTTCAACTTTTTTAGGATGGTGATCTACTGGCTAGCTACTATCCACCCACTGCACAGGTTGCTTATATACTCAGTTTAGGAGTTGTTGGAGATTTTAGGCGCAATGGCATTGGTATGATAAACTTTTATGATTTCACTGCAAACTATTTACAGTTAAGGCATAAAAATCTAATTCAACAAGCAATTTCAATACACATTTCTGTTATTTATATGCTTAAAGATCTATTCAAAATAACTAAAACTGGTAAATCTTTATAAATAAATAAAAATTAAGGTTTGGCTGTTCCTCTTTCAAGTAAACAGTGATAACCTGTCAAATATTTTATTTATATACTGTGCTCCTGTTTAATGAACATTCTCAGTATCCAACATAAGGAAAAGAAAGCAAAAATAGATCAGGAATGAGGGAAGTGAATTGACAGAGTTTGCTCTAGTGGCTGTAAGAGTTAATAATGAAATAAATGAAAGATATTCCTTTAACTTAATTCTACCATTCCTGAATGTTGATATACTCTCACTAGCATCACTACTGTTGGACAGCCTACTATCATACCTAACATCTAAGGACCGTGCAGATTGCAAGGCAGTGTATCTTCATGTGCTGTCCACTAACACAGTTGCTCTTAGATTCTACGAGAGGCGCAGGTTTCGGCGGCATCTCTTTCTACCATACTACTACGCAATACAAGGAAAAGCCAGAGATGGATATTCTTATGTGCTTTACATAAATGGTGGCGAACCTCCCTGGTCTATTTTATATCCTTTCATAAATTGTGGCTTTAGCGTATATGCATGTGTTTCTAAAGTCTTTAACTTGTGCCTTGATAAAGTAAAGTTCATTGCTGCAAACATTAGTGGTCGTTAAGCGCTGAAAAAAATGGATCTGTTTTAAGATTTATGGCAGGTTTGTATAAATTTAGTGTGTGATTTAAATTGTTGTGTTATAAGTCTACAGCTCATCACAATTTTTGAACTTTGATTTTAAATAATTTTGTTACACTCCTGATTTTCTGTATTCTCATATATAAAGCCTTTGTTTTTCTTAGATTTAGGTTGCATTTGGTAAATGAAATTAAGTGCTTGTATTAATGGTTTTCATGCTTTTAATACTTGAACAGCATAGACATGTTTATTTTTGTTTGCTCAGAAAGTCTAATTATTTCCTTAATGTTAGCACTGATTATTTAACACACTGCAGCACTGTAGTGACAAAGCTACAACCTTGTGCACTTCCTCGTCAAGTCTACAGTGCTGTCAGAAATATTGTCCAGCGTTTGTTATCTAGATCAGTGACGGAAGTCTCACACAACAGCTGATGAACTTCTTTTGTATATCAGCTCAATTTAATCTTGCTATTTTACAAACACTGGATGTTTCTTCAACTTTTTGGAGCCATGTTGTGATAAGCACCTTCAAATGGGGAAAATTCAGTTGGTTTAAACAGGTCATATGTTGGCTCTTCTAGGGGAACAAATAAGCAGCTTCAAGCAACAATTCAGTTGGTTTGGAATTAGAAGAGTTAACGTTTTGTCTATTATAGGGGAACAAATAAGCAGCTTCAAGAGACTATTCAGTTGGTTTGGAATTAGAAGAGTTAATGTTTTATCTATTCTAGGGGAACAAATAAGCAGCTTCAAGAGATTATTCGTTTGGTTTTGAAGCGTTAATTTATTGTCTATTCTAGGGGAACAAAATAAGATAGCTTACAATGCAATTTCACATTGGGAAAACACTGTTAAACATTGTGTTGTTTGCCTAAAGTTTATTTTTTACACTGATCAATCTGTGAATGCTTATAAAAACTTGTATTTATTTTATTTTTTTGCTGGCTTGACAGCTTACATTCTTGTGACCAATCATTCAGTTTAAGTTGAAAAAATACATTTGTTTTGTAGTCTAGTCTTCACAATCCCTTTGATCTATGGTATAGATCATTGTATTAGATGTTTTATTGCTCCACTCTAATACTTGTATACCACTAGTCCTGTGTTTGGGGTATTAAAAACATTTATATTGTTGTTGACCTTACACTATCTTTATTCAGTAAATTTCTATTGAGTAGTGATAGTTTTTGTTTTTTAAATCTTTACCCATCATTTTTATCTCATAGATATGTGAGGTGTTGTTAATACTTCTTGTGATATCAGTTTCTTTTTCAAAGGTATCAGACTGATACATTGTGATGAATAAGTGTAATGACAGGTTTGATGGATTGGGCACCTTCATGGTTTAATTAACTGCAAGGCATACAATTTTTCAAAAAGGTATCAATAGTGTTCTAGAATATTTTTTTAAAGTGCCTTTAGCATAACTAATATGCTGCTCCCTTATTGCAATGTGTATCACTACAGAAGATGGTATAGTTAACTTTTTGTTCAAATAATGCATTTCTCTGTGACTTCATTTATTTTCAGTGCACAGGGGTAATTATATTTATTCATGTTTAATTTTAACTGGTTTATAGAGAAAAATAGTTAATGTGGGATCAAAAAGTTATTTGGCATTTGACCTATCAATTAATTACCAGAATTTGTTGGTTTTGAGTAATGATTTGTACAGTGAAGATTGTTTAAAAAGTTGACATGTTTGTCTCTGTGCTATGACTTATGCTGTACTGTGAAAAATGATTCTGAAAGAAGGTTGGTTTTAAATAACATTTTCATATTTAAGACAAGTACACTTAAGTCAGAATTTTCTTGCAAGTGTGTGTAAAGAACTAATTAGAAGTAACAAAAAAATCCCTAAATTAATACTCTGCATGACCGCCACATAATTTGAGCTTGATCTCAAAATTGAGAGAGGTACAGGCCAACTCACATTGTAGTAAAGTGTAAAGGGTCACAAGTTTTACAAGCCTACTCCAGTTCCACATAAACTAGAAAAGATGTAGCATTTTAACTTATGATTTTTGTTCTGTCCAAATGTTTCTCAATTTAAAAGCTCCCTGTCAGCATAACCAATATTTCATGTGCTGCATACTTAAGCAGATATAATATATTAACATAATTATTGTAATGATCAAATGTTGATATACATGTACATTCTTCATCAGTATTTAACAGTTTTCTAATTTGAATATTTATATTTATTTTTCTACTTGAACAAATCTGTGTAGTACTATCAGCCAGCATTGCTTTCATCAATCAAATCATCATTCTATCCATATTCTCAGTATTAAACTCACCCAACTTAGCATGTCAGCTCGGGGGGGGGGGGGGGGGGGGGGGGAATAATTTTTTTAACATCTTTCTTTTGTTTATATTTTTAAAATGAAATCCTGTATTTTTATTATAATCTTTTTTTAAATCGTCTTAAATTTAAAATATTTGCGTAAGTTAAATAAGAAGAGCTAAACTGATAGGAAAGATGTATTTAGATTTATTAATAATAAATGAAACACTATTTTATTTTCAAGAGTTTTTTCTAGTAATTTCTTTAGTGTTATTGCTCCGTCTGTGCATTTGTGTTTATGTGATATATTTAGTTGATGTCTTAACTTATGACTATTTAGTTATGATATTATTTTTTAGTTTGTTTCACATTTCAAATGTATATATCAAATGACCTTGCTAAACTTTTAAAAATTTAATTTTATAATATACTGTAAAGTGTTCTGCATCATTTTAATGGCTTTTTGTTTCAACTTGTGTAAGAAAGCCATTTTAAAAGTTAAAAGTCATCATTGTATGTTCCACTTTATATTTATTGCTTCACATAATATATACTGCATTGGGAAAAAAACAACAATATTTGTAGTTACTCTCTGATTCTTATTTATATAGTTAATATAGTGGTACTTAATCAAGATTAAGATGTGCATGGAAACTTCCTGATAATATGACATTATCATTTATAAAAGAAACATTTTTATTTTGTTGTTATTTATGGTTGGTTTCCAGAGTCCATTTCTAATGTGTAAACAGGATCTCTGAATTCATATTACTTTTCAATATAGTTTTTAAAATAATTTTTTGAAAGGCTATAAATAAATTTTATCTCAAGACTTTGTTTACCTTGGAAACGTGATTTCCCTTAAATCGATAAAGAATTGACACATTCCTTATTTAATTCTAAATTTCCAATATATTTCGAATTTACAGATTACTTATTCTTTAAAAAAATTCACTTAGGGAGACTACAGAACAACATAAAATTTTATGTCAACCTAGGTCGGTCTTGATGAAAAATGTACTCAGGTTGTTTTATTTTTTTAATTTATTCCTTATTTATTAGTATTTGTGTATACACAATTTATTAAAATATTTGAATCACTTTGCTTCCTGATTGTTTTTGTCAAATGGTGAGTAGGAAATGCTGCATGAGATAATGTCATCAGGTTCAGTTTTATGATGCATTTTTACTTGGATAATGTTTAACCGCAGAATATATAGTCTATGTGTGAAATCCAGTTGTCTAAGTAATGTATGATTAAATAATTCATTGATGTTTTCTTTAGTTTGTTTTGCTTCTTTTTTTTGTCCAATTGTTTGAGTAGTCCTGAGATAGATAGACTTTAAGGTAACTCATATGCTGAGCCTTTTGGAAAATCCCAATGATATTCTTCTGTTGCTGTAGGTTTTATAAGTCAGCTATTTAATGATTATACTTTATTGATTTATAAGTAAACACCTTATTTACTTGACCACTATCATGGCTTATGGTACAAGCAAGCTAATAGATCCTCAGTTTCTTGGGAACTGTTTTTCTGATCTTTTTTCTATAAGTATAATGTAAAGGACAAGTCAACTTCATTATTGTCATTTTAAATGGATTGCAATTTTGTCACCTGTACTCAGCAACAAAACTAGCATCGCACTTCAAAATTTTTGTTTAAAAATTGAAAGATTACTTTGTGAGGCCATGAGTTCATGACTGAGCATTAATATCAAATCTGCCTTACTTTTGCAAAACACCAATTTAAATTTACATGAATATGAGCACTCAATCAAACTGTCAGATTTCACAAACATATGAAATTATTTTTGGTATTATTTAAACAGTAATGAGTCTGAATTCAGTTATAGTTTGTGTTATGTAATAGCATTATACATTTAGTGTCTCACATAATGTATGTGATTCTCTTCCAAGACACTTTTTCATAATTTAGATCTCATGTTTGTTATGTCTGATTAGCTTTTAGTTAGAAGTCCTAGAATTATAATGTTCAACTCCTCACAAGTATTATAAACCTTGATAGATATTATTTACTTTTGTACTCCTGTGTTTAGCATTTTACTTATTCATCTTTCATTCAAATTCATTAAAATTATTTATATGTAAAATATCGTCATTTAATTGTTTAACAATTATGAAACAAACCAGTGACATCATAAAATAACAAATTAAGTGTCGGGTAACACTGGAGAAACCATTTCCAGCAAAAGGGATGCAGCCAACTTAAAACAACAAAGCTGTTTCTGTATCAGGTGATTGTGACCAATACTGCCATGTTGTGGGCAGTTTCTCCAACAGATTCTCTTCCTGTCATTACCACAGCCACCAAGGAATTAGGCTTGACACGTTTTACCACACTTTGGACTCTGTTATCCAACTTTCTCATGAGTTTCTGTGAATGTCAGAGAAAACTTGATGTATCACAAGGAAATATCATTCTAATAAAATTGTTTGCTAAATGATTTTATTTTACCTGTCTTGATTCTTCTAACAAATCTCTTGTGTTGTTAAAATCGTGAAACTGAGCCCACACAAACTCTTTGGACTGTACAAATGACTTAGCGGCTCGTCTCGCTTCAGAGTCTGTGGTGACTGTTATTTTTTCTATACATTCAGAACTATACTTTTCTGTAATAGTGTCTCTGTCTATCATGCAAGCTGAAAATAGAAGATTAAATTAACTATGAGAGTAAGTAACTGTAGATAAAACTATTTGTATTTACTTCATTATAAATGCTTTAAAAATAAAAATTGGCTTACTTAGTACAGTATATTTGATAAACTATAGTTATCAGTCCATATTCAACATTTTGAAAGTAAAACTAAAACCAAAAAGTGAATATTCACCTGTTCTTCCTGCCTCATTAACGAGTTTAAAAAAACTGTGAGAAACATGAACACTGTTAGCTTGATTGAATAAACATTGCTGAAGCTGAACTTTTTCTATTGTTGATTTAAATGATGGAACAATAGGAACATCATTAATCTTTGAGTCGGATTCAGTTTGTGAACAAGAAGAGTCATCTTGGGAAAGTTTTTGCTTCTTGGACTGATTTGCAAGACTGCTCTCATCTTCTGAGTCAGAGCTGGATGATGATGATGATCCATTTGCTTTAAAATTTAAAAGTTGCTGCTCATTATGGGATTTCATTTCTCCACTGTGATCTCTCTTCAGCAAACTGTTCCCAATTTCCATTGAACAGTTGTCATTACGATCAGCTAGTTCACTGCTCTCCAGTTCAACATTTTCAGAGGCAGTTTTACTACTGCCACCACTATTTTCTGTGAAATATGTCCGAATGTCTGGAAAGTAAATGCCACTCAGAGTAGCATCTCCAAACTCAAGCCCTTTAAAAAAAAGTACAAAAAAAATATTTTTTTCTTATTAACTGATAACATAAACTCATGTGTAAGGGGGTTAATTAATTATGGAAAATTTCAATAAAATAAAGAAAGCAAAATTATTACCCTTAGATAGCTTCAACTTGACTAGATCAAGAGTTGCGATTGCATCTTCTGTGGAGCAGTGACCACTGGGATTGGCCTGAATTGTACGACTAATAACAAAAGTAAAAGGGGATTTCTCAGTACAGGAAACAATATATTCTAAATAAAATTTATACAATTTAAAAAGAATGGATTAAAAAATGCATAAAAAACTTCTAATTGAATACTTTTTGTGCATTCTGGTTAATCAGTAAGAGGGTGGGTATTAAAATGGTTAATCCATATGAAGGTTGGTATTAAAATCTAAGTTTAAATTGGTTTTTTTTTTTAATTTAAGAATACTGTAAAGATAAAGGTTCAATTCAAATTGGAAATTTATCTCAAGCTTAATTTTTCAAATATTACACTTTCTTTAAAAAAAAAAGCGACCAAGGTTTAAAAAAAAAATTGTCAGGACCTGTTAAACTTACCCTAAGAAACATTGTGTCTATTTTGAACTTACCCTAAGAAAAATTGTGTCAACTTTCTAAGCCCAGCTTTAACTTTTCTGTTTCCTGACATGTTAAAGATTATGCTGGTGTCAATCACATAAGGATGGAACATCTACAAATAATCATTGAATCCATGTTAAAAAGAACAATACCATTAAACAAAATCACAATTCAGAATGTATCATAAGGATATAAACATAGCGAGCCGACCCGCAGCATATCATACGCCGCTATTTTGTTGTTTTATTTTCTACTTTTCAGTAATTCATAATTTGTGAATTCGACAGTACCAATGCTGCCACTGAAAATATTTGCTTCAAACACTATCAGTAGGTCATTAAGGACGATACTACCCCCACCCTCCTTTCCCCCAACCCCTACCCTATACCCCCCCCCCCCCTCTATAAAGCAGCCTCCTCTTAGTTACCTCCCCTAAGTTTCAAATCGTTTCAAACTAAATTATCTGCCCCTAATAGCCGTCACTAAACCCGGCTCTACGAATTTAAACATTTAGCGTGAACCACAGCTCACCAGACCATGTAGGGGTGGGTGGTAGTGAGAGCACTTACAGCTTGTTTTCTAGCGTCTCCAAGAAGAGAATCATATATATAGATTACATGAATCAAACAAATATATTTCTTAGTCTTTTTTACTTCTTGTGGAGCATTAGACCTCAGCTGTTTTCTACTCCTTGTTTCAATCCACAGCTACAAAGCTGTAAACTGGGTTATAATTATTATAATTTAACATTTACCTTGAGAGCTAAAAGATCACAGTTAAGAGATTGTCCACATAATATAGCATCAGCAGGAAGAAGTCTTCTGATTTCATTTTGAACATCCTCAAGTGTTGTCTTGACTGGGTCCAAAATTTCTTTTGTGATACCACTATACCTAAAAGCAGCATTTTTCACTCACATTTAAACCATGACTGTTAAAAATTAGCCTTATCTTAAAAATGTATATATTTTAAATTCTTGTACAAAAAATTCTTATAAAATGAAAAAATAATTAATTTAATTTAATTATTTGAAACAACTGGTATATTCTAAATTGTAATTAGTTAAAAAAGAATTAGGAAAAGAAGTTATACAACCAAACCTTGTTAAATAGTTAATTATTCTGTTTTTAGGCTTTACAAACGAGTCAAATAGTAGATCCCCATTTTCCGCTACTATTGATACTCTAGTCAATTCATTCTGTCTTATACTTGTTAAACACTAAATTAAGCAAATATCATTTACATTAAAACATAAAATAAATATTACTTTTAAAATTTTAATACAAACTATTTTATTGGGTAATAAATAAACATAAATAATGGAACACAAATTAGTTTATATGGTCAAAGTAGGCCTACTAACAGGAATTCAGAGATATGATAGAAATTACTCAATTTCATACCATTTCACAATCAAGTGCAAACATTGGGCTACTAGCAGTCACTTTTTTATAACAATCTTTTGTGTAGACAAAATTATGGTACTTCCCTGTTAAAGATCACAAAAAGGAATACACATTTTAGCATTAACATACAATGCTTATACATTTTCTAGTACACTTTTTTATAACAATCTTTTGTGTAGACAATTATGGTATTTTCCTGTTAAAGATCACAAAAAGGAATACACATTTCAGCAATAACATACAATGCGTATACATTTTCTAGCACATATCTTGTTATTTTAAACATTAATTGGAGTATCTGTATAAGCAAATATTCAAAATACTTAAGCAAAAATGAATTTAAAAATGTTTACTTACTCTTATTAGTGATTATAGGTAATGGATAGCCTTCTAGCATCATTTGATAGGTACTTAGCAGCAAGCATGTGCGCGACAATTTATCATTGCTATTCTTTGCAACTGGCTGATCGATTTTGGTAAACACTTTATCACGAATACTTTTAGGCACTGGTATGAATAAAGTACAGCATATGTATTAAATATTGTTATTTAAATGTCTTTTAGTGTACTAGATATTCATATTCATGAATAAAAAAATACTGCTTTAATGAATTATACAAGCATTGATTTGTTTACCTCTAACATTCACTTTCTTCAGCTGTGACACACTAAGAGGTACATTGTACAATTCAGAGTCCAAACTCTGCCCATATTGTAATGGGCAAACCATTTCAACAAGCTGAAAAAAAAGAATATAACATTTTGCTAACTAAGTTAGTTATATCACGCTCAAAAGTTCAGAAATATTGTTTTGTTAAGTTCAATTACAGCACTTTTTAATTTTTAATGAGGCTATAATATTATAATGTTGTTTGCTTACAGATTCAAATGTTCCTGAAATGAATTTAAAACTAGTTTTGTTTTCTGTGTAATCGTTATGGCTCAGTCCATCTATCATCAAAAGAACAACTGATGAGACCTTGGCCACTCGTAGCAACTTACACCACCTAAAAACAAAATAATTTCAAATGTGCAATTATTATAAAACATTTTTATAACTACATCTAATAAATGAATGTTTTATCCTTTTACTCAATTAGTTCCTACTATTTATGACTGGGGGTAATGTAAGATTTTAATTAATACAAAGAACTGTGAGCAGAAAATCAGGGGAATAGTCTGGGCTGATAAAAATAAGTCCTACCACTGAAGTATTGGGTAAGAGATTATATTTTCCTTCAATTATTAGTTTATGTAATTTTTTAAAATATACATATTAAAAACATACTATACATAACAGTTAATTTTTTTTTAAATATTTTTAAAAAGTATCATCAATTATATAAAATATTAAATTTCTGCTGAATCTAAAACTGAAGCAAGTAAAAATAACAGGTAAAAAATATACAAATTTTCCTTAGCTATAATAGTAAAAAAAAGGCATTGGTCACTCCACAGACCTTTTCATTTTTCAACAAAGCTTTTTATTTTTACTATTATTGCTTAAGAAAATGTATGTTTGCTTTCTTACTCTAGTGTATTTTATAAAGGTTTTCATACTAATTTTATTTTCTACTTTTTATTATTTAAGCGTTGTGAAGAGTAAGCTAATACTAATTTTTTTTTTTAAAATGTGTACTATATTTTTTTTTCTTAGGTTTACTTTTTAACCTAACAACTTAATATCACTAGTATTCCTTTATACAAATCCCTCGACATGAGTTTTCTTGTCTGCTCTTTAGTAACTTGTCTCTTGTAAAAATCTTTGTAATTAAATGTCATGAAAACCAGCTATCCAGAGTGATTGGTATCCTACTATACCTTAATTTTGTTATCTCCCTTTGTTATAAAAACTAATATTAAATTTGATTGGAAATGCATTGTTGGAAATGGACTTAGAAATGGGTCAAAATTGAGTTACAAGATTCGACACAAACACACGCCCACAGACATCCGTACATTGTGACCAAAGTAAAAACTTGTAAAAAGAGAGTAACTTATAACCTTGGTTTGAAGCTCGCCATGTTTCCCTGTATGCCATAGAGTAGAAGCTGCTGGAGATCCATAACAAACAAAGGGGGATATTCCTCCTCACTGATAGGTTCATCTGATACAGTACGAAATGGAACTGTTTCTTCTAGTGTAAGGAACAATTTTGGCTTTTGCTATGCAAAATGAATAAAACATTTTAAAAACAAATGAAGTTTCTTAGCAAATATTAACAAACTATCCATATCAAATGCAAAAATTGAAATGTTAAAAAATAAACAAGCAAATACTTATTTTTTTTAAACATTTTAATTTTCAAAAAATGCAATAAAAATAAGAAAATCAAACTTTAATTTGCTAGATAGAATAAAAATTATCTTTGAATTATCTTTGAAATATCTTTGTTCTTAATGTTTAGTGTTGGAGGGGATCGAGCCTTATCTGCCAGAGGGTTTGAACTCAAGACTTTTTCGAATTTTATCAACCATGAACTTTTGCCTACTCTACCACACCTCCATCACAATTAAGGATACGTGTCAACTGGTTATGCGCCATTGAGGCCATTGACTCCGATTTCATCCTGCTTTTCTTTTTGGATTTGCTTCCATAGCCTTTGTCCAACCAAGAACAAACTACAAGGCAGCAGTTGTTTGATTTTGGAGTTGTCTCTCCTAGAAGAGTGGCTGTCCCCAACTAACGAGCCTCATCTGCCCGAGGGTTCGAACTCGAGACTTTTCGGTTTAGCAACCATGAGCTTTACCGACTCGACCACGCCAACCCCTAATTTTTAATGATTTATTTAATATCCATTGAAATATTCTAGTGTTGTCATTGAAAAGAAATGTATATGGACGTTGCTGCATTAGAAATGGGTCAAAACTGAGTTATATAAGCTTTGACCACAAATCAACTCACTGGCAGAAAAAGCATGTAATGAAAAGAACAAGCATCTACAGATACAAAACAAATTGCAGTCAAGTTGAATGTTATCATTAAAAAGTTACCATAATCATTCTTTTTCTCTCTCTCATGACTTTCTTCATTTCAAGTAATGGGTCTTTACTACTTTCATCATCGTCCCCCTCTCCTTTTGTGATTTCCATTTTCTAAAATTATTCAAAAAAGACATCATTAGTTTTAATGTTATATTGTAATAGTCCTAAGTAAGGAATTTTTAAGGCGATTAGCAATTTGGATCAAGGCATATTTGTCACTGGCTTTATTGATACTTATAACTGTAGGAGGGAAGCCAAAGGTTCTAAGTTCCAGTGTTGGACAGACTGAAGATAGTGACAGATACTTTGTGACAATGTATCATTTTACAGGGACGGTATTTTGTCACTGGTTTTTTTTTTTAAATTTAAACAGGATGTAAATAAATGTGTACAGGCCTAGATCTCGATCTCATTTGAATTTGTAATATTAGTCCTAATTTTTTAATTAAAAAATAACATTAACAATCATTTGTTGATCTAGTTACCCCATCCCATCTACGCCTCTGTGAGTGTGGTAACTGTTGCTTATAATATTATATAGGCCGATGCTAGCCGGAATAAGATACGCATGCGATACGCATGAGCAATGGAGAGAAACTACGACTTGCCTTTGCGGTGATATTTTCGATGGTACTGCGCATGTGTGTGTTTACAGCCGCAGAACCCTAACACCAACTCTAATCCTATCCCTAACCCTATCCCTAATCCTATCCCTAACCCTAATCCTATCCCTAATCATATCCCTAACCCTATCCCTAATCCTACCCCTAACCCTCATTCTAGCCCTAACCCTAGCCATAGGTCACTGCGGCGCATGCGCAGAGCTATCTTTTGCCGACTAAGTGGAGACGTTGGGGAGAAAAATCTTCTTCCGAGTACTCACTTCGTTTTATATAATATAGTATAGTAGTGCCTAGGCCTAACTAGTTATAGTATTAACTGATTACTATGACTCTACAGGCTGATACTGACACTGAAGAATGTAAAATTTAAGCCTAAGCTACAGCCAGGATTGTGGGTTGTACTCTAATTATTAATTAATATAGATAAGGCATAGGCCCCTTATATAATTAGATCTATATATTTAATTATATTATTTATTATTTATTATATAAATTAAAAAAGTGTTTGTTATGCCTGTTCTGGGGGATGTGATAGCAGTTCTATTGCTTCAGTTTGTACCGTAGCACTCATTGCAGACGTTCTTCTTAGAGTTCTAGATCTTGTTCCAGCAGCAGTAGCACTGCTGCTCAATAACGAAAGAAATGCTACTGCTTTTCTTTTTTTAGATTCCAGGCGTTTCAACTTTCTTGTACTTAACAACTGTCCTTCTCTATCCAATGAATGATCCATCCATCAAAACTATTCAAAACCAATCATCAATCGAATAATTTATTTTATTAACACAAAAATAAAAATTACAAGACAATTTAATTAAACATGTACATAAACTATTTCTACTATTTCTAGATCTACTACTAGATTAGATCTAGATTTTAATCTAGAATCTAGAAATGTAGATTAGAACATTAAAATAAAGATCTAATTCTAAGCCAAGTAAAAACAATGTGTCTTCAAAAACTTTTGCTTAGTAAGGAAGGGAAGTTACTCTAATATAATTTTAAGTAGGCTACTTAAAAAGTAATAAATAGTTATTAAATAAATAGGCCTAGATTATTAGATCTAGATCTAGAGGTAGTAATAAATACTAGAACTAGATCTAGATCTATATAGTATATAGAATCTAGGCCTACACCTTTATATATTTCTATATAGAGTAAGTTAATAGAAGCAAGCTTTTTTTTTTAAAAAAAAGCACTAAAAAAGAAGGTGAAAAAATGATTCTCTTTAAACATATTTTATAGCCTAGTTCTAATAACGCATCACTATCACTGTTAATTTTTTAAATAAATAGTTATAGTTATAGTTATAAAAAAAAGCGTCGTATGTAGATCTAAGGATGTTCAATACAGTTGAGATTGAGTATGACATGATTATAATATAAAGCGACCCACGCTTTCCTTTAAATGACACATTATCACAGTAGCGTAGCGAGGGCGACATTAACATATGTCCCCGGGCGCCAAAAAGGGTCGGAAAAATAAATTGAAAATTTGAGGGGGGTGCAAATCAAAAGTTTGAGGGGGGGGGTGGGGTGCAAATCGAAATCTTGAGGGGGGTGCAAATCGAAAAGTGTGTCCCCGGGCGCCGGGAAGGGTCGCTACGCCTCTGCATTATCAGACTTTAAAAGAAATTTATTTTCGACTTTTTAGCGCATGTATAAAAAGTGGGTATTATAAATATTTTTTACAAGCTTTTATTTAGCTTGATTGTTGTCGTGCTTTTGTCTGTCGTCAATTATTGACAATTATTGGTCAATTATGGGTCGAAACTTGATCGCGAAATTCAACCACTTTTGTCCTTTAGCGAACCATTTCAAAATGGAAAAGTAGAATGATGACAATACAATCTAACATAAAACACTTGACGTAATTAATAAATTATTCGATGCTTAATTATTTTAAAAAAGTAATTAGATTGTTTTTAAAAAAAATTAATCGCGCTGTTAAACTAATTAGTAATTAGCAAGTCTGAGCAAGTCTTTTATTTTAGTAATTTTAGTTATGCAATACCATTCAATTAAAATTTAAAATGTGTTTTTATTTATTAAAAAAAAAAAGATGTAGAGGGGAGTCTACTGCCCCTCCTCTCCTACCCCCCCCCCCCCAGCAAAGTATAAAAAAATAATGAATATATTTAAAAAAAATTAATTAATGTTCCCCCCCCCCCGATAATTAAGCAGTTTTTAAAAATTATCTTTTAATATAGTGTAATATACGAATATATGTAACTACAGAAAAGCATACAAATTTGTTGTGTCGAGCATTAGCCAAAATTAAGCAACATGACTTCCTCTCGTCATATGATTGAGAAATGACAGGAAGTTTGAATTTAATACAACACTTGTGACCAAAGGTATTAGTGTTGTCCTTGATACTCACCTGAGAAGTTGGTCAGGTAAGTCAGAATTAAGTTTTAAAAATGTGTTTTATTTTAAAATAAATGTTGTTCTAATGGATCTCACAAGAGAAGCAATGTTTTTAAATGGAGGCGAGCGAGTTGACGAGATTCCTTCCATAGTAATTAGTATTGTTGACATGGAATAAAAACGTGCTTTTTAGATTTAGACCGTAAAAAAAAAATAAAAAATAAAAACTTAAGCCTAAAATTAATTTACAAATTTTATATTTTTAGAATCAATGCTATAAAAGTTGCAAATCCAGAGAACTTGAAAATAATTTGTTGAGTTTAAGGCTACATTTAGGGATTTAGGTAAAAAAACACTAATCATCATATAAAAATAAAAATTACATATTCTTGTAGAGCTCAACTATATGAAAACTAAACAAAAAAGATTTTCTGTCTAGCTCAAATAGTTTTTTTTTGGCGAATTTTTTTGTGAGGGGTGGAATCCCCTTGCTTTTGCATTGGCCAATTGTGACAAGTCATGGTATACCTGAATAAATTGAGCATAGTTATTTTACTTGCAGTTGTATTTTGTTCATATTTGCAGAGTTTAACTAGAATGATATATAGTATATAGAACTTGTAAATGCTGTTGAAATTAATAAAAATAATACAGAACTTATATTTTTGTGTTGGCTTCCTCCCATAACCCCAAAAAACTGTGTGCTGCGCAAATATGAAAATGTTTCTAAAGCCATATTTTATACAAATACAGCAAATGAAAGAACTACAAAGTTAGAAATCTAAAGTAAATGACTTGAACACTGTTATGTGCATATAATTGCCTCATTATTTTGAGCAGGTGAAGTAGAGTCCATCTTTAAGCCATTTTGTTATAAAACTGCTGCGCAAATATGAAAATGTTTCTAAAGCAATATTTTACATAAATACAGTGAATGAAAGAACTCCATAGTCAGAAATCTAAAGTAAATGACTTGAACACTGTAATGTGTCTATAACTGCCTTGTTATTTTGGGCAGGTGAAGTAGTCCATATAAAAGCCATTTTGTAATAAGTGAAATGAAGTTATCAGATCAATGTTTTTATGTGTGAATTGTGTATGGATTCTGATTTTCAGCATATAACTATATCTAAGGGTTAGTAGAACTTGAATACTTAAAATTACAGTTAGCACAATGCTAGTGTATAGCAACAGACAGGTAACCTGTCAGTCTAGAGTCTAGTCTGACAAAATTGGATTTTTAGGAAAAACATATTCTGCAAAACTAGAACTAGAGCTAAAAAAATTAAGATGGGTATGTAAATATATTTTGAAATAAAAAATTAGATTTGTTTGCACATGCCATAAGAATGCTGTTATTAGTTGATCAAACTTAAAGGCAGGAAGATCGGGATGAAAAAATATAACAATGGTGGCAGAGTGACCTACATACAGTGACTACGTTCGGAGGGGTATAACTAATGTCGGAGTCAAAATATCCAAAAACAAATTTCATTTCCAATTACTTAAGATATGTCTGATCAGTAATCTACTCTCATCTAGAGGAATCTTTTAAAAAATCGAGATTCCAACGTATTTGAAACTAACCTTGATACAGAGGGAAGACCAAAGCAGAGACAGCATGAAATCAGGTCGCAAAGCCATTAAAACTAAGGGACAACCACTCTACTTTTTAATTAACCTTAGGAAATGACCTTTTAAACTTAATTAATTACCATAAATTAAAAACTTATTAGTATGCAAAACCAAATCTCGTGGGTCCGGTATCAGAAAGTAATGGGCGATTTCGGGTCATGTTTTTACCGCAAACTCGGCGGATGCCGACAACCCTACTACATTTCTATTTATTTTCATCAAGCCTAAGTTATAACCGGATGTTTCACTTTCGTAAGACAAATATTGATTGGCTGTACAGTAACTTAGTGATCGATAACTATTTGTTTACAAAACTTTGCAGATCAAGTTTTTAAATAACAATGCAAATTAAAAACCCCATGACCTAGTTTTCTATTTTTAGCTTACAATGTGTACAATAAAATCAATGGCGGCCTATCCAATAGCAGGATGCCATTGTTTATGTCGCCATTACACGTGAAAACCAAATTGTTTTTGCTTTTTTTTTAATTTTTATTTAGTTACCGAAAATATTATAAACATCAAATACATCCAATCTTTAGTAAAGTCCGAAAAAAACCAGACAGACAGGATTTTATAACCATATTAATTGTAACTACGCCGTGCCTGATTTTTAAACTAATTTATACACCTCTCAAATACCTTTGAGAGTTTTCTCGCTCGTGTCCATTAAAAGTTCTAATTTTCGCTTGCAATGAGTTTGTTTACAATGAATTTAAAAATTATTCTTTAATTCACTTCAGGCCTTAAGCCTAAGCCTTAAGTTAAAAACTTAAAAGTTAAGCCTTAAGGCTTTAAAAGTTAAAAATAGGAAATTTGAAAGACTAAAAATCAAAAATAAAAGTGAATCACTGAATGACAGTGAATTGTGAATAGATAATTTATAATAGATCTGGAGATGTCTCGATCTAGATAGATCCAGATTGTGTAGGGCAGTGTAGGGTAACGGGTAATAAATACGAAGTGACTACGCGTCTCGCTAAGCGTGGCCCCTAAAGAAAATACTACGCATCTCGCAGGTTCGATTTGTCATCTTGCAATTGAAAATGCTTATTTTTGACATCTCTATCACATCCGCTGTGGTTGAGTCAACAGTGTGCCAGCTGTAGTCTGAAGTTCATAGACCCGGAGTTCAGAGTTCGAACCCGGGGTTAACATTTTTTTTTTACATTTGTTTTTTCATATTGAAAATATGACGTAGACTATGATTTTTTTTTTTAATAAAATTTCCAAACATCGTCACTGTCGTGATTGCTTGCTTGCCTTACGTTTACTATCCTGTGAGTGGAAAATCCCACCACGGCCCGCGGTCGGCGAGGTCACTGAGTTCAGCAGACCTAAAGCATACGTCATAGACGTTCACTCGAGATCGTCTGTCTTCACTTCTCTCTTCCTCCCACCCCCCTTTCCCCAATCAAGCAAATTGATTTTTTTTAAAGGATAAATAATATAGACTTAGATCTACTACTATCACGCATGCTAGTTAGCTAGGCCTAAAGGTTAAAGGACAGTTTGATTTAGCTAGGTTGCTGCTAGATCTAGGACTATCATCTGACCCATCTGACCTCACAAACTTTCCTTGACACTACACTGTACTGTTTTTTTTACAAGTACTAGACTCGTAGGTGTTGAAATAATATAGAGATCTAAATACACTTAAACTCGATCTAGATCTGTCAACATTAAATTGTTACCACGAAAAAAAAAATCGGGCAGTCCTGATATCTGTTTTTTTTATCGCGTGCCACCTAGGGTAAAGATTAAGCGTAACGCGGAGCGAACTGCGCAAAGGCGGCCTTACGTGTAACGCGGAGCGAACCGCGCAAATGCGGCCTAATAAATAGCCTACTAAATAGGCCTACTAGATTTTCTAGATCTACTACTAGAATTAGCCTACTAGTACTACACTACTAGATCTAAAAAAAATCTCTAAACTAAACAGAAACAGTAGTAGGCCTACTTAAAGTCTAAAGTAAAAGTGATTGTTGTAGGCCCTAACTATTAACTAAATACAATTTTTTTTTAATAAGGTGAAAAAACAATTTGGTTGTTTACAATCTTATTTTATCTTTATCAATTCTTTATCACACAAAATGACAACAATCATGGCTCAACTAGATCTAGTCTATGTCATGTCATTTTTTTTTTAATGAAATCTCTGGATTTTCAACTTTTACAGGCCTAACACGGGGGGTCACTGGTAGTTAGTAATGTCAATGCTAACCCTGTCCCTAACCGCTAAATCCAACCCTAGTCCTACCATATGCCTAACCCTAATTTCTAACCACAAAATTAGTCGAGATTACAATACTACTCTTAACAACAACCCAACACACCTATTTTATGGAAGAGTCTCAGACCTATTATCAGACATCTGTATCTAAAATCATCCCAAACGTCAACCATTCAGGGCAGCCTAACACACCCAGCACTGCTGGTTGTAGTGTTGTTGTAGTATGATCAGTATATTTTAATTTACAACAAAATTATTTGTTAACTTGTTAATAATAGTTTAGTAAATTTTAGTTTACTATAAAGTTAACAATAGGCAGCCTAAGCCTATACTATAAATTTCAGTAATGTGTTATTGATGTTAATAAAAATTCCTCTTTTTAATTTCAGATAAGGTTTTAAAAAAGCTGGAAATAGACAAGTAGCCTGTCACCATGGGCTCACTATTTAGGAGTGAGGAGATGCGACTGTGTCAGATGTTCCTACAGTCAGAAGCTGCATATGCTTGCGTCTCTGAACTTGGGGAACTTGGACTTGTCCAGTTTAAGGATGTAAGATGTTTAAAATTAATTCAGTTAATTTAGTTAAAAGCTCAGCACTCCAACAACTATACAGGTTATTAAAATTGGTGGGAGTCCCTTATTACCAGTTAGCACTATTCTATCACTTTGCATTTGAAATACATTCTCATAGTACATTATTCACTTTTAGTGGGTGTTTTATTTTTGTTTTAAATGTTATAATTTTACTCCTAATGCTGGATTAGGTATATAAATTAGATGTTTAATTTTCAATATCATATTTTTCAGTTGAATGCAGGCGTTAATGCTTTTCAAAGGACATTTGTAGCTGAGGTTCGCAGATGTGAGGAAATGGAAAGAAAACTAAGTAGGTCTAAATTTTATTTCGTCGTTGTACACACACTTTAAATTATTTTAATGAAGCATTATTAATACTTAAATGATATATATATTTACACTTTAAAAAATAAGTAATTTAAATCTAAATTGTAATGCAATTTTATGTTACTATAAATGGACTCTTATTGTAATCTCAACTTACAGGATATGTTGAAAAGGAAATGTTGAAAGAAAATATGAAAATTCCAAATTTCCGTGAAAACCCAAAAGCTCCAGCTCCTAAAGAGATGAATGATCTTGAAGTAAGTTTTTTTTTATAATTATTCCAAGATTGGATATCTTAAATTAAACTACATACAGTTGTAATGCCTTTTTAGCACTGTTCTCTATCCCAACCTTTTTTCATTTTAAAAATGGTTAAAGGGAAATAATAGTTATTTTACCAGTAATGGTATACAGTCCCTTGATTTTTTTACATTCCATTTTTTATTTTTTGTTTTAATTACTCCAGTGTTAACAATTTGAGCTAATCTGGATGTTGTGAAGGGGTTAATGTAATTTGACTTAATTCACTTTTATCTAGATATGACTTCTACTGTCATTATTTGATTTTTTTTTTTAGTAGTATTATCTCAAAAATTTCTTTACATTTGTTGCATATTTTGAAAAAGGAAACTTTACATTTTGTTCAAAACTTTCAGGTTGAGTTTGAGAAGATAGATTCTGAGCTGAGGCAGGTCACCACTAACAATGAGGCACTCAAACAAAACTACCTGGAACTGACTGAGTTGAGAGAAGTGCTGTTCAAGACCCAGTCTTATTTTGCCACAGTAATCAGCTTTTTTTTAAAAAAGCTCTTTTTCATTTTCTATTTTGAAATACTACTCGTCGTTTTGTTTTTATTGTTTGACCCTACTAAAATAAACTTTTTTAGTACGGTAACGACATCCAACACATGATGGAGGAGGAGACAGTCGGACAGCAAGAGGAGGCAATTATTGGTGGCATCAGACAGCAGCAAACAGCAGCTCTTGGGTAATTCTAAATCTGTTTTGACCGAGTGTTGTAAAGTTAAAACAATTTCCCTATACAAACAACATTGAATTTCCATTTATCCTATAATTTTTGTACTCCTTTCAGGTTTTTTGTGGGTACAGTCCTGAGGGAGAAAGTCCCTGTCTTTGAGCGGGTCATGAAATTTATTACTCACAGCACAGTTTTCATGAGAGTGGAGGAGATTGAGAAGAAATTTGTGGACCCTATTTCCGTAAGGCCATCTCTTCCTGTAACTCTTAAACGCACCAACGGGCTTATTGTCAACTCAGTTGAAATATTAATTTCATCTTCGGAAAATGGTAAATGTTTTTATAACTTTCTTCACGTGTGTTGCAGGGAGATGAACTTAGCAAGTGCATGTTCATAGTTTTCTACCAAGGTGATCAGCTCAGACTCAAAGTTAAAAAAGTTTGTGAAGGGTGAGTCTAGTCTTCTTTGTTTTAACTTTTGTGTAAGGAAGATGCTGTATTTATTTCATAGCCAAAATAAATAAAACAACTTGGCCTGAATAACAGGTTTTAGACTCATTAGTTCTCCATAAATGTTAATGAAAAATTGAACTATTCTTTTGTTTTATATCTTTTTTATGTGTTCTTTTTGTTATAATAAATTAAGAATAGATTTCACTTGTTAAACTGAGATATTTATAAAATGAAAGCTATTTAAAATAAATGTTTTGATTGCTTGTAAAGAATGAGAGGCACAATCTATCCAGTACCTGATTCACCTCAAGAGAGAAATGACATGCTAAATGGTGTTAACACACGGATCGCAGATCTGGAAAATGTAAGTTTTGAGTTTATTCACATTTTATAAAACTTAAATCTTTAAAATCAAGGGTTTTTTTTTTTTATTTTTTTTTTTTATATTCTAGTTTATGACTTAAAATTTTTAAGTTGATTAAATAAATTTTAAAATTACTAATTTGTTATGGATTTCCATTCTAGGTTGTTAACAATTTTTGCAAGTTCTTATGAATGTGATTTATTTGCATTTACGTACTGATTATTTTAAGCCTACTTTATTTTCTTAGGTGCTGGCACAAAGCAATGAACATCGCCATCGTGTGCTCTCTAATGCTCAAAGGGAGTTGAGGTCATGGACAATAAAAGTTGAAAAAATCAAGGCAATTTACCATACACTTAACATGTTCAAAATCCACCAAAACAGCTTACATGGTGAATGTTGGTTCCCTGTCAAGGCCATTGATGACATCAGAAGGGCTCTCAGCATTGGAGAAGTAAGCGTCACTTTGTGATAATATTTTGTTGTTTTTTTTACTATATTTTAAAGAAAATAATATTTAAATAAAAAGCTTGTATAAGAAAATGAATATGACAATAAAGAATTGAATTTTCAGAAAGCTGGTGGCAGTTCTATCCCAAGTATACTGCAGCCAATGTATACAGATGAGAAACCCCCAACATACTACAACACCAACAAATTTGTTAAAGGATTTCAAAATATTGTAGACTCGTATGGTGTGGCCACCTATGGAGAGGTTAATCCTGGTAACTATCCGCTTGTTAAAATATTCCCATTATTGTTGTATTTCAGCAGAGTCAATAAAAGCCTTTTTTGCCCCACACTTTTATTTTCTTTAAATTTATAATAAAAATATGATTTTAAAATACATTTTCCAAGTGTTGTTTTTGTTGCCCTCTAATATTTATTTCCCATTAATTTTCTTCTGCTGCATTTGATGATTTTCTGTCTTTGATTCAGCCCCTTACACCATCATTACCTTCCCTTTCCTGTTTGCTGTTATGTTTGGTGATGCTGGCCATGGGATGATCATGTTCCTCTTTGCCCTGGCATTGGTTATCAATGAGAAATCAATCAGTGCTTCCAGGATCAGTAATGAGGTGAGCTGAATAGTTGTTGCCATTTGGAGCTGTTAGAGGCTTGTTTTATTTCATCAATATAGTTTTCTTGTTACATATAAACATGTATATATACATTATATATAAAAATTGTATATAAACTTATATATATATCTTTATCTATATGTTGTTTATAATGTTCAATTTCTAGATTGCCAAGACATTTTTTGGTGGCAGATACATCATTTTGCTGATGGGTGCTTTCTCAGTGTACACTGGAATGATCTACAATGACATCTTCTCAAAGTCTTTTAATATTTTTGGGTCTAAGTGGTATCCCCATGGACTGTGAGTAATTTATTGAGTACATTTAGATACCTATTTTACTCACACCCTTGCTGTAGTTTGTATTGTAAATCTTTATGAACCAATGCACCCATTTGTTTTGCAGTGAAGATCTTGATCATGTTGAAGATGTCCAATTAGATCCCATCACAACACACTACAACATGACTTCCTATGCCATAGGAATTGATCCAGTAAGTAACTCAAAATTTATCAGTGACAATGTCATGCTTCTAATTTGTAGGTTACCTGGTCAATAAAATGTTGCTTTCAATTCTCTTTTGCCTAGTAGGATGAGTGGGTATACTCTTCTATTAATTTTACAGGCAAACTTAAATAGTTAAATAAAACTATTTTACATTGTATTGTAATAAGTATCCTTGACAAGTTAAATTTGCAATTACTTTTGACAGGTGTGGCAACCATCCACCAACAAGATTATGTTTTTGAATTCCCTGAAGATGAAAATGGCCATCATTCTTGGTGTCATTCAAATGCTTTTTGGGATCTGTCTCCAAGTTTTTAATCATATGTAAGTCTAATGTTCTAATCATAGTTCTAGAACTTGAATAAATTTTTATTGTACAAAAAAATTATCTCTTCTACAAACAAGGGCCTTATTTATAAGAAAATAATCTATAAGTTTAACTATTTTTTTTATAATCCAACAACTGATAGCGTAGTTTTTTAAAAAATCTTTTTAAAATGTTGTATGCTATTCTAAAGATAACTAAAGTAGTATTTTATGTGGCCAGAAAAATTAGCCCCTTTGATTTCCCCATAGTGAGTTGAGGACACTTGCCTTACAATGGTAAAAAATAAACATGTTGCTGGAATTGCTCTTTTCATTAATGAGTTTGCTTCTTAGGTTGTTATGGCTTTTCTTAAATTCTTTAACATTTCATTAAATAATCATTTGTTCTTGATGGTTAAACTTTAACTTAACTTTGCTCTTCCCTCAAAGTATGTAAATTTGTGATCAGAGATTTTTTTTAATGACTATACCTGTTACTATAATATCCAATTGAAATTATTTATTTTTTTTCAATTTGAAGCAGAGTACTTGAGAAATTTGGGAACGTAAAAAAAACTTGTGATTTAAAATCTGACCATTCTTAATTCCCAAAATCTGTAGGTAACTTTGATATTTCTCCATCAATCCATTTTTGTACCCTTATTTTCAACCTTGTTTTAGTTGTGCACTTTGACTTGAACTCCCAGTGTCGTTTCTGTCATTTCAGTTCAAAGTTTTTACTTTTTATTACTTTGCTATTTTTTTATGTTCCAGGTTTCAGTAAAATTATAAAGTATATAAAAATGACAATACTTAAATGTTTATTCTATTATGTGTGCTATTTAAAGAGTTTTATTTTGTTAAGATCTATTTCCAGAATGGCTCATGTGCTGAATAATAATCTGTAAATTTTCTTAAATAATTAAAATATATTAACAACTATAAAACTTTAGAACATACTTTCAATGATTAGTGTATTCATGTAAATTAACTATGTGACATCTTCCTGTATTACTTCCCTCAACTTCTTAATGAAACCATCCAATGTAACATATTTTCTGTCTACAAATTGTCTAGGAATTTTTTTTACCGTTTTTGTGACCTGTTTGTTTACTTTTTCAAATTTTTTTTCAATTTTAAAAATTCAGTTCACTTTCAGACCACTAAACACATTTGCCCAATATAATTTAGTGGGGTTTTGTTTTATACTATTCTTATATATGCTTTATCCTATAGTTCTTCATTCTAAGTTAATCAGATATTATTTGCTATAAAAGAAGTTTATTACACAACCATGATTTTATTTTCCCAGTTTATTTTATATATTTTTTAATTTTATGTAATTTCGCCCAATATTCTTCTTTTTGTTAAGAATTTTAATTAAGATTCAGTTATTAAAATATTGAACTTATCGTTTATAAAGTACTATATTGACTTTAAGTACTAATTAGAAAAATACTCATTTTTTTCTACTCAACAGCCATTTCAAGAGCTACATCGACATTTTTATCAGATTCATTCCTGAACTTCTTTTCTTGGGATGCCTTTTTGGCTACCTAGTGTCTCAAGTGATCTACAAGTGGATCATGTTCGATGCAACTACATCCCATTGTGCACCTGCACTGTTGATTCGTGAGTGCATTGTTTCTACATTTGCACTTCAATATTTGAATGTTGTTATTTAGAAATTAATTTGTCCAATATAAATGTTAAAAACACTACCAAAATATATTTGGTGAAAAAAATTAAATAACAAAACAAATAAAATTGCATAAAAACATTGCTTTGAGGACGAATGTATTAGCTTTCTTTTTTACAAATGTACTCATGCTCTCATGTTTCTGTTTATTTTTAGACTACATCAACATGTTTATGTTCAAGTATGAATTTCCTTCAGAGGGTAAAGAGAAATGTGACCCCAACCTTGTTTACTACAAAGGACAGGTGGGCGAAGCTGCTTTATGAAACGAATCAGTTCTTGGTTCTCTTTATTCTTTTATTTATACATATTTTTTTTCCAGCTATTAGAGATTAGGATGTTATCTCAACATTTTAATAAAATTGAATGAAATTTTTTTTTTATTTTACTTGTAGGACATAGCACAGTATGCAATGTTTTTTATTGCTATTCTCTCTGTACCAGTGCTGCTGATTGTTAAACCTGTTTATTTGATTTGCAAAAACAAGAAAAAGAATGTGAGTGCTATAAAGCTGGCTAAAGCTCTTACATTATGTTCTAGTATATGTATAAACCTCACAAGTGATTTTGAAATTAAACAATATTCTGTAGTAAGCTATTTTCAGTTATTAATTTTCTAAACAATTCATAAAACTGTATTAAAAATATTTCAGCATGGACTATCTGATCATGCGTCACTGATTCACCATGAAATTCCCCCAGGAAATGTAAGTTGACCATGTTTCAATATTTTTTATTTTAAAAGTTTTTTGTGTCTCCTTGACTGTTGTTCTAACATTACACTTTTTCCAAAAAATTCATATTTTTTATAACACTTTTTTAAATTTTGGTACATTTTAAGTTTTTATATTTAAAATATTTTATTGTTTTACCAATGTTGTAATAAGTTTGAGAGAAGTAAAATAGAACGAGCGAAATATAATTGTTTTAATTTCATCCATTAGTAATTTATTTTTACTGCATGTAAGCATTAAGAAATCATTTGAATATAATTTCTGATCATAGATCAGTATTATATGTATTTTAAAAAATGTGCATGATTGTTTGTACACTCAAAGTTGTAGATTTCCTGCACACTTTGGTGAATGTCAACACTTAGTTTTAGGTCACTTTTAATTATAACCATTTTTATTTCTTTATTTTTTTTATTCTAAAGAGGTATTTTTCTTAGGGGCCATTCTAGCAATAGATATTAACACAAAAATAATTGGTTTTGGAAGTTTCCTTTGATTTAAATTTGCTTAAAGTGGGAAGAAATAGAAACCTTTAATTTCTTCTTTAAACATAACAAAAATGTTTTTGGTGAAAGGCATGGACTCATATGTGCTCATTTTGGAGAAGTTAGTTTTGCTGAATATGAGGTGTTACGATAAAGTAATTTATAATACAAATGTCACCACATTTATAATGGTTGTGAGAGACTTCAATTATTTCCTTATTATGGGAAATGTAAATACCATCATCATATTGCGAAATGAAATTTGCTGGTGAATTTGTGTGTATAACTGACAACACTTTGTATATAACTGACAGCAACAACAGTGCAGTTGGTTAACCAACCCAGTATAGGTAGTTACCTCTTGGGCCACCTTCAGGTCTCAGCTGTGTTATAATGTTGTTGGTTAACTTTGCAATATTTGCTATGTAGCCACAATCCCCCAAAACTGACAAAGGTGTCAAACCCCTTGCACCACACCAAAATGCAGAAGGGGAGTTGGAGTTAGGGGTAAGTGAATGCCAGCCCCCACCCTCCCACATAGATGCCTGTTTGCATTTTTCTCATATTTTTCCATTGTTCTGAATGCCAGACCTCACCCTCCCATATTCATGCCTGTTTGCATTTTTTGTCATATTATTCCATTTTTTTTCTCTTTGCATTGCACATTATACTCTTCATCCTTCACCCATGTATTAATTGTATTTTTTCCAACCTTTCCCAGGGAGTCGTCCTCGAAGTATTTCACTTTTTACCTTCCTATATAAACTATAAGCACTAACCCATAAGTTTCATTTATATACTTCATTCTTCTTCAGCTATTCCCCATTATAATCTACTAGATATTTATTTCATCGCACCCTTTTAATCCTTATATATGTAATCAAAAGATTTTGTATCTAAATTTGACGAGCTTGTTAAAACAGAATTTTTAAAAATTGAATATGCTAGTGAAAGAAATTAATTCAGCAGCTACCTACTAGTTCAACAGCTAGATCTAGTTTTAAGAAATTATTATTCAGTGTACGAGATGTTAATGTTTGTGTTGTTTTTGCACTGTCATTTTGTTGAGTCATTCACAAAATTCTTATCTCTGTGTGCAGTTTAGTGTGTCTGGCAGAAAATTGTTTTTGTGATGTAATTTTGTTCTGTCATGAAATATTAATAGCAGAGCCTAATAGAAATCTAAAAAGTCAATGCCAGTAATTCTAACAGAAAATAACTTTAATGATCTTACTACTTCAAACTCCTACCACTCATATTACCTTCCCATAAAAGTTAATATCCATCCATTTTTGTCTATTGTTTATACATATTAAATTTAGGACTTGATATTTTTTTTAAATTTTCCTGACTTAAAAAATGTCAGAAGTTAATTTTTTTTAAATACACAAGTAAAATTAATTAATTATCCCAACCAAACATTGGAAGTAAACATGTTTCTCGTGTCGTATAAGTTGCTTACAGGATATCTATTTATCTTAGCTTTTTCTCCTTCTTTGTTCTACATTAACTGGACAAGAAGAAATTTCCTCACAAAGGGAAAATAATTCTAATTTATTACTCAAATATGGCATAGATAACCAAGTAATTTCTCTATTGTTTCAAGTTAATAGTTAGGTACAGCTTGTTTTATGTAGGATTTAAAATTCCTTGCATTTAATTCATAATTTGCAAATTCAAACAAATTTAGGATATGTTTATAAAAATATACACCATGCTTCTAAAGTAAGGGAGAGTAATGGTTACAAGTAAACTCATTATTCATACAACATGAGCACCCGTAGATTGACCCTTTCCCCAGATTACTAATCAGTATTTGGAATCTAATTTATTATAATCTAATTTAATAACAAATACAGTTGTTTTGTTCATACACTTTGATTTGTAGGCTTCTTCACAAAACTCAGCCAAAAGTTATCTCCCTGTATAAATCTGCAGATGCTCATGTTTCCAATACAACATATATTGGACAACTGGTGAAAGAAACCAACATTAGTGGGTTGGATTAAATTACTTCTACTTTCTTTTTGCAAAAGACAGTTTAATTTTTATTAATTTACAAGAAAAGTTTTCAATTAAAGCCCTCTAAAGAACACACTAAATTTTTAAAAAATATATAAAGGCATGTTTAAAGCTACAGGATGCCATAAATTTTTATTATTCGTTTTTCAATGTTCTAACTTTTGTGTGGATTACACATGTTCTTACAGCAAATCAACTATAATTATGATAATGAAGGTTTTGGCAACGGTAGACCCAAGGTATGTCCCTGATGTAGTGATGATACATTAGCTCATCCAAACCTTCATTGTCATCATCGTCTAACTCTAAAATTAGCTTATTTTCCCTCACTGAACGACATTGTTTTTTGTATGTACTAATCCAGTAAGATTTTATGTTGATTTATTTTTTAGCCAGTTGCAGGTTTTCTGTTTAACATATTCCATGTTAACTTCTATTCTTAATGCCTATGGTTGTAAACTTCAGGATGGCAATGGTCAAGTTGCAGCTGCTGTAGTTATTGAAGAGGAAGAGGAACACAAACCATCAGGAGGTCATGGGGATCATGAAGACGTGAGTTTAAATTAGTTTTTACAATTTGTTGTTTTAACTCCAGAAAGCAATTTTAATAGAAAAAAACCAAATGTCATATTTCTAGAAAATAAAATGATTCCCTTGAAGAAATATTTAAGTTGCGCAGTTCATATCTAGATCTTGCCAGTTTGTTGTTGATGTGGATACACCAATTATGTTTAAACCTTGGTCATCCAATAGGAGATTAGTCCTTACAATTTATTTTTGTAAATATTCTTCCAGCATGAAAATGAAATGTCAATTTTTTTTTTTTAGCATGGAACTGGTGAGATAGTGATACATCAAGCCATTCACACAATTGAGTTTTGTCTGGGCTGTATTTCTCACACTGCTTCATATCTGAGACTCTGGGCTTTGTCTTTGGCCCATGCACGTAAGTAAAATCATGAATAATGCACATTTTTGTTTTCTTAACTTTCTTTCCAAATCACAAAAAAAAAAGGTTGTAACAATGTAAGGAAAAAGTTTTTAGTAAGTTGTAAATTTTAATGAAGGGGAGAATACAATGTTTACTTTAAAAATGTAATGATAATAATGTGATGTTTTAAAAAGTAATCATTTATTAATTTATGGAAAATATACATGTGTATGATTTTAAATTAAATCTTCATTGTTTTTAAAGAATTATCTGAAGTCTTATGGAACATGGTGTTACGTATGGGTATGACAATGGGTGGAAAATACATTGGAGGAATCGTCATCTTCATCATTTTCTTCATCTGGGCTAATCTGACGGTGGCCATCTTGCTGTTGATGGAGGGCCTGAGCGCTTTCCTCCACACTCTCCGTCTGCACTGGGTAGAGTTCCAGTCCAAGTTTTACGTGGGAGAAGGATACCGTTTCCTGCCATTTAATTTCAAACACATTCTAAACATGGAGTCACTTGAGGAAGTTACTGGTTAAGGCAATTAATCTTAAACAAAAATCAAAACTATGAATATATTGTCTTTTAAAAAAAAATGCTATTATATAGATCCTACAGCATTTTAACTTCCTATATTTCTCAAGAAAAATAAGTTTTGGTGTGTGGCAAAATTGATTCATATCCAACAATTTAATGTAGCCTGGGTCAGTAAAACAAACTTTTCTTACAATATTTGAACACATTTGTTTGCAACAGAATAGGGCAATTTTCTGTGATATTTTAAGAAACCTGGGACTGAGTTTAATAAGTGCACAATTTTCTTTTACCATGACATAGTGCCACAAAATTATAAGAAAATGCAAATATTTTTGTTCTTTCAGGGCAGTTACTTTGAACTAAAAATCTAATTGTCCAAAATAAAACTAAAAAGCATTAAATGTACGAAATCTATTACATTCCTTTTGATGTGAACAAAGGCTGCTACCACAGTTTTTATTTTTTGTATCTATTTATACTAACTATATTATCCAAGAAATTTTATTCACATTCTATAATTCTTTTTATATATTAACGTTAAGCATTGAAAGATTTCAAAAATATAATTCTTAAAAATCATTTTCATGTATATGTTGCTCATTAGCTAAAAGTGGATTTTTAAAGCCTTTTGCTAAAGAATGACATTTTGTTTTTAGATCTGACCTGATTATCAACTTCTTATTAGTTTTACTCGAATGGGCAGCACCTTCAAACTGTTTAGATTTTTTAAAGTTTAATATGAAACATTTTCCTGTGCTTTGTTACAGGGCAGACCATGACACTTCAATATCTATTTCAAACCCTGAGATTACACTAGGTACCATGACATGTTTCAAATATTATTTTGGACATTTTTCCAATATTTATTCAATATTTATTCATTAAAATGGCAAAACTGAGGCATCAGGGTAGACAATTTTTGCTAAATGTATGGTGCTGGTATAATAATGTTAGTGCACTGAGTATTTTATCTACCTGTTTAAATTTATTTACAGACGCGTTGTGAAATTGTTTGTGGTATTTTTGCATGTTCGACAAGTATTTATTATATAAGGGCAGTTGAGTTTATTTACTCTAGAAATTGAATACCACTACACACATTTTTTTGAAGGTTTTTCTGTGAAGCTTTGGCCTATGGTATGTTATACTTTATGGAAATAAATTAACTAAAATATTCAGTTTGTTGTTTGTGTATATTTAGTTGTTTTATTTTCTACTTTTCAGTAATTCATAATTTGTGAATTCGACAGTACCAATGCTGCCACTGAAAATATTTGCTTTAAAACACTACCCCCCCCCCCTCCCCCTTTCCCCTAACCCCGACCCTACACACCCCCACCCCCCCCGTGAAAGCAGCCTCCTCTTAGCTACCTCCTGTAAGTTTAAAATCGTTTCAAACTAAATTATCTGCCCCTAATAGCCGTCACTAAACCCGGCTCTAGGATTTGTAAACATTTAATTTAGCGTGACCACAACTCACCAGACCATGTGGGGTGGGGTGGTAGTAATAGAGAGAGAAAGAGAGGGGACTATAAGGAGGCGCTTGCACCTTGTTTTCTAACCGCTCCCAGAAGAGAATTATATATACGAGCCGACCCGCTGCGTATCATACGCCGCTATTTAGTGTTTTTTTTTTCTACTTTTCAGTAATTTATAATTTGTGAATTCGACAGTACCAATGCTGCCACTGAAAATATTTTCTTAAAAACACTAAACCCCCACCCACGTGAAAGCAGCCTCCTCTTAGTTACCTCCTCTAAGTTTAAAATCGTTTCAAACTAAATTATCTGCCCCTAATAGCCGTCACAAAACCCGTCTCTATGATTGTAAAATGTAAACAACGTGACCACAGCTCACCAGACCATGTGGGGGGGGGGGGGGTGGTAGTGATAGAGAGAAAAAGAGGAAACTGCAAGGAGGCGCTTGCAGCTTGTTTTCTAACGGCTCCCAGAAGAGAATTATATATATAGATAGACAATGTATGCGGTGTACCTGACCCGCGATCTTTGCTGCTATACAAGCCAACTAAAATCCCCTACATTGGTTAATCAGATGATATCTTCGTGTGGTAGTTTCTCCCCTCCTCCTATCTCCATGATTAATGCGACAAAAAATTAATTAGCAAGTCACATGTCAGTATAAAATACACAATACCCGACTGTTCAATCTGTTTCTAAAGGGAAACAACCCACCATCCAAGGCCAGTAATAAGGTACAAGTGATCTGTTCATAGTAAGGATTTCAGTTACTTGAACCACATAGGTTTTATTCGAGGAACTTCATTTCGATAATATAGTCGTAACTAGTGTGCACCTAACTTGACAAAATGTAATGTTTCCCATTTAAAATATGTAGTGTTGGGAGTAGAGTTTGGCTTAACTCTGCGCAAAATTTGTTCAAATTTCAGGTTAGCTAATAGTCTTATGACATGAGTTCAAGCAACAGCGATATCAACCGTTTATACTATTGTTATGGCATTATTCGTAGCCTATGAAATAAATCTATATGGCATAAGCTCAAAACTAGAGCAAAATCAACTCTTACAGTAATAATGCGAGTTGTTATTTGATTGAGTTGTCAGTAAAGGCGGAACTTAATTTAGCGATAGATTTACTATTCGCACTTGAAAGATGTTATCGATTTACAATCCTAATTCGCTACAGAGAGGATAGTTTTCCCCAAAACCAGTGTTACCGCTTACAATTCATATGCCTATAAATCCTACAACAGAAAATTAGGCTATACAGCTATATATACAACATAATAGCTCAAATAAGGAGAGCAAAACACATAATGGTCTAGGTTATATATTATATGTTCTCTGAATTGTGCAAAATATTAGTAATTGAATTAACATTACGAGTTATTAACTATCAGTTAACGCATTAGCATTAATAAACATCTTAGTTCAAGATTATTTTTTTTTTAATCGAGATTTTTGCAAATCTCGATGTTTTACACTCCCTGAATCGGAAAAATAATTTTGCAATCTTGTCCGTATGTTTGTGTGTGTGTGTGTGTGTGTGTGTGTGTGTGTCTGTAAACACGATAACTTGAGTACCGTTACAGCTAGGGTGATGAAATTTCATATATAAGTATTTTATCAAAATCGCAGATCCGTATAAACTTTTGAGAGATTTCCGATAACCGGAAGTGGTACGTTTTCTACTTTGAATTTTTCAAAAGCCTATAACTTGAGTGCTATTTCAGATGGTTAAATTCAGATAGTTAAATGAAATTTCACATGTAAGTAAAAGACCTAATTCTCTACCTTCTGTCAAATTTTGAGTAATTTTCGTTGACCGGAAGTACTAGTTTACGCTATTTCCGATTTCTCAAAAAAACTAATATAAATTTATAAAGTACTAATAATATTGCGCACTATTATTCACATTTTATTTAGCGTTCACTTGGTGTGCAATTCTTTTTTTCTACAATATTCTATTCTATTTTAAAAACTTTAAGTATTTAAAATGGATTAAAAATCATGTCTATAGCCCGAGTTCCTAAAACCTGTTGTTTTATATAAGAATATTCGAGAAAGTTTAGTGGGGATCACTCCCGGTTTATTATCTGATAAAATTTCAAGATATATGTTTTTTTATATGGTCGCCCCCCCCCCACCTCGTCCCCCCCCCCCCCGAAGAGAGTCTTAACCCCCCCCCCCCCCCACCGGAG